GACAGAACCAAGTCCGTGACATGCTTGCGGAAGTCCTTTAGTACTGTTAAATTTCGTTGATAACTTTACACCAAAACCCTTTTCTGAATGTGCGCTTCTCCAATGTACTCTAAATCAATAAATGCAATACTACTTTCCACCATTTTAAATGTTCCATGACAGAGACAGTTTGGCTGAATTTAATAAGTGATCTGGGAAATCTCTAACCCCAACCCTCTCACTCTGCGTACCCTGCAAGCAAGCCCAGGTCACGTGCTCTAACCTGCATGGACAAACTGTAGAACACTGCTTTAACCGGAAAATGTTCAACAGTTTTGGTAAATAACATTCCGCAGGGGTCCTACAAACAGTCTACGATGCACAGCGGAATCACAAAATGTTTACTGGAGAACACAGCCACACCCCTTTGCCTGCACATACGTACTTGTGTCTTTTGTTAGGAGGTCTTGGGTGTCACTACTTGAGAATTGAAAAGGGGCCCTGTTCTTCAGCCAAAAGCAAGGTTACACAAGATTTGCTGCCACATCAGCTATGCAAACCATAGGCTACAATCAACTTTCATTAAGTGCCCTACACTGGATAGTCAGCCAGATGTTGAGATATCACCACATTTTCCAACTTTTTACCCCCTGTCGCGTGAAAATTTCGTTTTTCTAAGTTTCTGAAGCCGTTTCCGCACGGATTGCCAATCCGAGAGTACTTCAATTAGAGAATATGATATGGGGCCAACTTTTCAATTAGGACGCCAACTCCGGATCGGCACTAGAAAAATCCCAATTTGCACAAGTCCTATAACGTATATATAACATATATGTCCCCTTTATATCAACCCACCCCCCCCCCCTATTGGCACCCCTGCCGCCCCCCGTACCCGCACCACCGCCCATATGACCCATCACTTGCCCTTGCACACCTAGTCCTCCCCGACTTGCCTAGGTGCGCAACACCCCCCGCCACTACATCCCTCTGAGTCAAAAATTCAAACTGTAGAACACACCCAAAAGCCAGAAAACTCGAAAATTTCTAAGTCCCTAGGGTTCCAGGCAACCCAATAATAAAACCCAACCCAGGGGGTCTTGTAACCCTAACCCTAACCCTAACCCTAACCCTAACCCTAACCCTAACCCTAACCCTAACCCTAAGGATGGCCAAAAATAACCCATAACCGGGAACAGTCCTGTAACCCTAACCCTAACCCTAACCCTAACCCTTTCCTTGGGTGTCCAAGGTGGTACGGATGACATAGGGCATGCAAATGGGCATGCACTGCATGCTTTTTCCATGATTTGCTGGTTGACAAACACCGTGTCATACCCATGTATTGCAATGCAAAAAGGCATTTGCCATCCTCCACCAACAGGAGGAGCAATGGAAGAAAAGAAAGTATTTGGGCCTTAAAAGGATTTGAACATGGAGCAAATTGAGAGCAAACCAAAATGAGTCATTTGCCGCCAACTGGAGAACACCCCCATATTGCCTGGAAACAAAAAGTACCAGGAGTTGATGAATACTAGAGTAGATGAAGGTTCCTAGATGTTTTTGGGGATGTTTTCCGAGACATATTCCACTTTAAGCGAAATCCATCCACTCAGAGTTTCAGAAAATGCATTTTGGCAATATTTTCATAGTAAAAAATCGGAAAAACAGATTTTCCCGGGGCATTGAGTGGAAAACATGCCCCAAAATTTGAAGCACATTACAGTAAGATGCCCCTGAACATTGCTAGCAACTTTGTTTGACACTTTTTGGATGGCCAAAAATAACCCATAACCGGGAACAGTCCTGTAACCCTAACCCTAACCCTAACCCTAACCCTAACCCTAACCCTAACCCTAACCCTAACCCTAACCCTAACCCTAACCCTAAACCTAACCCTAACCCTAACCATAACCCTAACCCTAACCCTAACCCTAACCCTAACCCTAACCATAACCCTAACCTTTCTGAATGTGCGCTTTTCCAATGTACTCTAAATCAATAAATGCAATACTACTTTCCACCATTTTAAATGTTCCATGACAGAGACAGTTTGGCTGAATTTAATAAGTGATCTGGGAAATCTCTAACCCCAACCCTCTCACTCTGCGTACCCTGCAAGCAAGCCCAGGTCACTTGCTCTAACCTGCATGGACAAACTGTAGAACACTGCTTTAACCGGAAAATGTTCAACAGTTTTGGTAAATAACATTCCGCAAGGGTCCTACAAACAGTCTACAATGCACAGCGGAATCACAAAATGTTTACTGGAGAACACAGCCAAACCCCTTTGCCTGCACATACGTACTCGTGTCTTTTGTTAGGAGGTCTTCGGGGTCACTACTTGAGAATTGAAAAGGGGCCCTTTTCTTCAGCCAAAAGCGAGGTTACACAAGATTTGCTACCACATCAGCTATGCAAACCATAGGCTACAATCAACTTTCATTAAGTGCCCAACACTGGATATTCAGCCAGATGTTGAGATATCACCACATTTTCCAATTTTTTCCCCCCTGTCGCGTGAAAATTTCGTTTTTCTAAGTTTCTGAAGCCGTTTCCGCACGGATTGCCAATCCGAGAGTACTTCAATTAGAGAATATGATATGGGGCCAACTTTTAATTAGGACGCCAACTCCGGATCGGCACTAAAAAAATCCCAATTTGCACAAGTCCTATAACGTATATATAACATATATGTCCCCTTTATATCAACCCCCCCCCCCCCCCTATTGGCACCCCTGCCCCCCCCCCCCCATACCCGCACCACCACCCATATGACCCATCACTTGCCCTTGCACACCTAGTCCCCCCCGACTTGCCTAGGTGCGCAACACCCCCCGCCACCACACCCCTCAGAGTCAAGAATTTGAACTGTAGAACACACCCAAAAGCCAAAAAACTCGAAAATTTCTAAGTCCCTAGGGTTCCAGGCAACCCAATAATAAAACCCAACCCAGGGGGTCTTGTAACCCTAACCCTAAGTGCCATAGCTCCTTCAATAGTCATTGAATCTCCCTGGTTCCACTTCCGTAACTATATTATCTTTCAAATCCGCACAACTTTCCTCAGGTGTCCAAGGTGGTGCGGATGACATAGTGCATGCAAACGGACATGCACTGCATGCTTTTTGCATGATTTGCTGGTTGACAAACACCCTGTCATATCCATGTATTGCAATGCAAAAAGGCATTTGCCATCCTCCACCATCAGAAGGAGCAGTGGGAGAAAAGAAAGTATTTGGGCCTCAAAAGGATTTGAACATGTAGCAAATTGAGAGCAAACCAAATTGAGTCATTCGCAGCCAACTGGAGAACACCCCCATATTGCCTGGAAACAAAAAGTGCCAGGAGTTGATGAATACTAGAGTAGATGAAGGTTCCTAGATGTTTTTGGGGATGTTTTCTGAGACATATTTCACTTTAGGCGAAATCCATCCACTCAGAGTTCCAGAAAATGCATTTTGGCAATATTTTCATAGTAAAAAATCGGAAAAACAGATTTTCCCGGGGCATTGAGTGGAAAACATGCCCCAAAATTTGAAGCACATTACAGTAAGATGCCCCTGAACATTGCTAGCAACTTTATTTGACACTTTTTGGATGGCCAAAAATAACCCATAACCGGGAACAGTCCTGTAACCCTAACCCTAACCCTAACCCTACCCTAACCCTAAGGCCTCACAAGGCGCCACGTCTGTGCCTTCCCAAGCCCTCGCCAAAGAGCATTTGCCTACTCCTCCGCCTACACCCTCAGCGACATCAGCGCCTGGTGACATCCCAAAGTACATCATGAGTCGGCGGCTTGGTACGGTCATCCAAGTCTGGGAGGAGTACGACAAGGGCTTGGTAGATGAGAACGGGGCGAGGCAGCCGTCTGTAAGGGCATTGGATGCGGGGTGGCGGTCCAGCTGGCGGGCGACCACAACTGAGCGGACTCATTATACACGGCGAAAGAGAATATATGATGCTGTACAGGCACGTTGCCAACTGACGGCGACCACAGGCGAGGAGGTTGCTCGTGCAATGGAGGTAGAGCGATGCCAGAAACAGCTTACGCTAGCGCAATACCAAGATTTCCTGAATGAAAATAAAAAACAACGACGCTCATAACTTGCAATGTACGCTCTTTGTGCATTCTGGTAGAACTTATAAGATAAGGAACCCAACATGAGGGTAGGGCATATCAAGGGAAACGCGAAAAAGGAGAGATTATGTATTGCGTGCGTGCGTGCGTGCGAAAGAATGTTCTCTATGCGAGGTGTACAAGATTCGATGGTGGAAGCTGAGGATTATTGCGTTTTTGAGTGAGAACTCGATGGGGACGTCGAAAGACAGCATAAACCTCAGCTTACCCTCTCTCATTCTGTCACGTATGGAAAAGGAGCGCCACCACCGCTGCCGTCCCCCTTCCCTCCTTTTCCGAGAGCATTCATCCCCTTCTCGTACTCCCAAAGGTCCGGCGTGTCTTCTCGTCCGCCAAGTTCGCCCTCCTCCTGGAAAGTCAGTATTGGTATCATGCGATATGAGAAACTTTCTCTTAGCCACTCACCTCGTCCGACAGTTCATCGTCGGTATCGATCTCCCTGCCCTTCCCCTTCCCCCCTTTGGCAGCCTCCCTCTTTTCCTCAGCCCTCTTATGCGCCCGTTCCCTCTTTGCCTTCACGGCTTCGTCCTCAGCAAGCGTAAGGTCTATGGCCTTCAGCGGCTTTGACGTCGACGCCGAGGCTTTTGGCTTTGGCTTTGGCCACGACGACGACAACCACAACCTCGTCCACGCCTGTTCGGTCCTCTTCAATTCCATCAGATGTTGTCGTTTACGGTATTTGGTCCGCTCCGGAGCACTCAGCAGCTTCCGGAAGTACCAGACCATCCGAAACTATTTGTCAAAAAGAGAATCAAATCAGTGTGGAACAAGCCAAGCTGAAGATTAACGGCTTTTTGAACGTCCCCCTACCCGGGAGACGTCAAAAGCGGCGTTATTTTCAGCTTGGGTAACTGGAATGCGTTGAATGAGAAACAAGTACTCACGTCATCCTTGTTCAGAGTCAGACGCTTTGCATGCCAATGTTGCATGATGGAGTCTGAGAAGAGGGCGCTGATGTACGTCTCAGCGGCCTCCTGGAGGGCATCGACTGCCTCTTGGTACCAGCAATGCCTTTTAGAGAACGGCGTCGCCCCCGGGGTTGTCGCAATGCTCTGATTGTGAGCCCGGGACACTTCATAGTCGATCTCCTCTATCAACTTTCTGAAGGGCGACTTCAGGATCACCGACCCATATGTATGGGCATAGTGTTTGATCTCGGCCTCTGCCAACTCGCCCGACCGATATCCACCCCTTCTTCGTCGCAGAGTCAGCACCTTCGGGAACGTGGACTTTGGTGGATAACCAACCTGACGTACCAAGCTGAAGATTAGTGCCATTTTGAACCCTCTCCAGACCGGGGACGGCGAAAATCAAGGTTCTCTCAGCTTGTTCAAAACCCACCTTCCAAGTTCCTGTGACATTATCAATTCTAGATTGGGGAATTAATGCAGGGCGATTTGGGCGATTTGGAAGACGGCGTGGAGCATCCAAGGCCAGTTTCCTGGCAGAACCGGGCGGGGCAGGGGGTCGTGGGTTGACCATATTCTGATGTTAATTGAGAAAAGGAAAGAAGAGGACAACGATCAGAATATTCCTCTTCCGGCTATAGTATTCGGCCATTTGCTTCCGCCATTCCTTCATCTGCTCCGTATTTTCGAAGATGTTCTCAGCCTCATCGATAACCTAGGGTTACGCATTCCCTCAACAACCGTGTCCTGGAAGGACAACCATGGCTGGGAGTAGCCGCCTGGGGAGGGGGCGGTGGCTGCGGCGGTTGCGGTTGGGCCGATTGGCGGTGACGGAAAGATGGGAGCATCCCATGTCTGATGGATGCTGTGTGCGACGGAGGCGCCTTTGCAGAGACGCCCAAGGGGGCATAGTGCGGTGTCGTCCCATGCTGGCAACATCCAATCCCTCAGCCTCTCTGCGTCCAATGGGTGGATCCTCAAGCAATCTGAGAGAAGAACACGGTTACTGGTATTGCCCTTCAACGCAGCAACAAAACACAAAGACAAGCTGAGGTTGATGCAATTTTTCGACGCGCGCACGCCGGGCACGTCGAAGAACGCATTAATCCTCAGCTTGTCGAGAAGATACGTACCCCCGACCCAATCCTTCCTCAGCATCACCCCGTTGACCTGCTTCCCCTCGTGGTAGATGCGCGCCTCTGAATCCACTCGACAGAGGCCGAAGGCCGCCGCCGAGCGGGCACGCCTCTGCAGCGTCCTGATGTGCCTCGATTGTTCGAGTGACCACCAGTAAAACTCGACCTGGTGGCCATCGACCATGCGGGTAACGATCACTGGGTCGTAGAGGATCCAGAGGTAACGGAAGACGGCAATCGTCGTCTCCGTCTCCTCCTGCCCCATCTGCCAGTGCATTTCTGACAGGTCGTACATGGCCATCCCCATATCCCCCTCCCCATTGTCGTTGGGTCCCTGTCCCGTCGCCAAAGAAGAAGAAGCCATACTCACTTATGATGAGGGCAGTGTTATGGACGACGCGCCCATACCATAAGCTTACCTACTGACAGCCGCCAATGTCAACCGCCAAATGTCAAACGCCAATGTCAATGTCAGTGTCAGTGTCAATGTCAGTGTCAATGTCAATGTCAATGTCAGTGTCAATGTCAATGTCAATGCCACTCCCCCTCTCTCCTCTCATTTCGCCAATCCTCTTGCAATATCGCCACTCCTCCTCTCTCCTCTCATTTCGCCAATCCCCCCCCCGGCTTCTCCACACCCCCCACTACTTCCCCATAGCCAGCAGCTGTAGCAATGCTCTCTACGCTCGCCACGCACGCTCTAGGAGCATAGCTGGCGCCCCCCCAGTCCCCTCCTGTTGTTGTTATTCTCTGATCTGCTGGGTTGCCTATCTATAAATAGCCGGCCTCTCTTCGTCCGTTCCCTTCCTCCCCAGCAGATCAACACCAGTTCTTCTCATCTCCTGTTCTAGACCTTGTTTCTTGTTTCGCCAATACAATCTCTTGCCGCCTATCACTCTCGCCCTGTCTTCTCTACTTCGCTTCCGCCTCCGTCGTCGAGATCATAACAGGCAGGGTGTGTTGGTATACCTAAACTTTTGAACAAACGTCAGTCATGTCAGTCAAGCTGTCGAAACTCCGACAAGCTGAGAATAACGCCGTTTTTCGACGCTTTCCAGCCCTTCTGGTTCAAAAACACAATAATCCTCAGCTTACTTACAGTGCGTGGCGTTGCAAGGAGAGAAGAGAGACGGTGTGATGTGTGTGTGATGTGTTGAAGATGGCGTAAAAGTGCTGTGGAAAGCATAGGGAAAACGTGAGGGGGAGCGTCTGCAGGCTGTCTTATATATGACATCCTTTAATTGGGGAGTGTGTGGATGTTATGAATGGGCGGAGCCGATGGAAATAGAGGCGACTTGTGGTGCAGGTTGTTGACAGGTAATGGTATTCAGACCGAAACAAGAACTAGAACAAGAGTAGGAAGAACTGGTGTTGATCTGCTGGGGGATCAGGAAGTGGGGAGCTCAGGGGAGGCGGCTATTTATGTTTTTCTGGGAAGGCTGGGGAAGCGTGGGGAAGCAGAAGGGTACGGAATGAGAGGGAAGCCAAGAGAAGCGCCAAGGGTGGGGAAGCATAGAAACAGAAGACTGGGGATGGGGTGGCTACGCTGAGGCTGTGGGCGGGTACGTGGGGAAGTATGGAGAAGGGTTTGTAAGCGCCGAGTGTTGGGAGGTGTGGCTACGTGCGGCTGCGTGGAGAAATGAAGGCAGTGGCAGGTGTGGGGTAGCGCGGCTGCGTGCGGCTGCGAGGTTTGGCAGATGTCAGGTTTTGACAGGGAATTGACATTGACTGACTGTTGGGATGCTGTCATGAGGTAAGCACATGGTATGGACGCGTCGTCCATAACATCACCCCCTCCTTTAGCCACGGCGTCCGGATGTTGTTTTGATGTTGGCAGGCTTTGGTCGGGGTTTGTCGGGGTACTTTTGGTGGAACTGGGCAACAAGCTCTTGACATCGGGCAAGGTGTTCCACTGGCTCCCATGTGTTCTCCGAGCTTGGCCAACCCTGCCACTTGATGAGGGACTGAAGGTGCGTGCGTCGAATACGGGAGTCAAGAATGTCTTCCACAATCCATTCCTCCTGTCCTTCGACTTCTTCTGGTGGGGTGGGTTCTGGCTCAGTTCGCTCCGGAATGGTGAAACGTGGTTCAAGAAGGGAGACATGGAAGACGTTGTGAATTTTGTAGGATGGGGGAAGCTTGAGGCGATATGTGACCGAGTTGATCTTCTCCGTGATTGTGAAGGGGCCAATCTTACGGTGATCAAGTTTCTGAGAAGGTCGGAGAGTCTTGAGATTCCGTTGTAAGAGCCAGACACTGTCCCCAGGTTTCATGTCTGGGCCAGGTGCCCTCTTAGCATCGGCAAAGCGCTTCATGCGTCCTTGGGCCTCCTTGAGCTCAGTGGCAAGCTGTTCATGGATTTCCTTGAGATGGTTGGCACGAGCTTCGGCTGCAGGATTAAGGGATTCGGTTGTGGTGGCGGAAGCCAGACTGAATCGAGGATGGAACCCATAGTTGGCGTAGAAGGGGGTTGTCTGGGTGGCGGAGTGGATGGTGTTATTGTAAGAGAACTCAGCAGAAGACAAGAGTTCCTTCCAGTTATCTTGTTGATAGTTGCAAAAGCAGCGAAGGTATTGCTCAAGAATCTGATTGGTCCGCTCGGTTTGTCCATCGCTCTGGGGATGGAACGCCGATGAGAGGTTGACCTTGGTTCCCAGGAGAGCGAAGAGACGTTTCCAGAAGTGGGAGTTGAACTGTGGGCCACGGTCAGATACAATATCGTCGGGGAGTCCATGGAGCCGGATGACATGGTGCCAGATCAGATCTGCAGTTGACTCAGCGGTGGCAGTTTTCCTGCACGGTACAAAGTGCGCCATCTTGGTGAACCGGCAGATGACAACGAGCACAGAATCAACCCCATCACTGGCGGGTAGATCCGTGATGAAGTCCATGGAAACTGACCCCCAGGGGCGGTCAGGGACCTGCAGGGGTTGGAGGAGACCGTAGGGCTTGTGTCTGCTGGTCTTGGCTTGAGCACATACGTCGCAGGACCTGATGTAGGACTTGACAAAACGCCATTGGCTAGGCCACCAGTAGTTGCGTGAGATGAGCTCCAGGGTCTTTGACACGCCGTAGTGTCCTGCCAAACGCGTGTCATGCATGTCCCGGCAGATCTCAGCACGGAGCTTGTTGGTGGGGACATAGACAAGGTTGTCGTACAGCAGAACCCCATTTTCCTCGGAGAATCGCTTTATCCGTTCTTGGTCTTCTTGAGATTGCTGGGCAATGGGGGCCCTAAGCTGTCGCCGGATGGTTTGCGCAAACACATCGGATGCCAGGGCAGCTTTGATTTGGTCAAGGAGCGAGGAGTCCAGTGGGGTCAGATAAGTGGCGGCCAGGCGGAGATGGTCAGGGGTGAGGATCGTGGTTTCCTGGGAGCGGAATGCTTCTTCCCCCTCCCTTAGCTCGTATTCAGAGCGACGAGAGAGGGCGTCAGCTTGGTGTTGCTGGGTACCAGGGCGGTATGTGATGACAAAGTCAAAATCAGCAAAGAAGATTGACCAGCGGGATTGGCGGCGGTTGAGGGTACGGGTAGTCATGAAGTACTGGAGGTTCTTGTGGTCACAGTAAACGATGACCTTGTGGCGGGCACCAATGAGGTGGTGTCGCCATTGAGCAAATGAGTCTTGGATAGCCAGGAGTTCCTTGTCGTAGATCTCATAGTTGATTTCCTCAGGAGTAAATTTGCGGGAGTGAAAGGCCACGGGGTGGAGTTGATCTGTGTCATCGGGTTGAAGGAGGACGGCGCCAAGGGCAAAGTCGGAGGCATCGGATTCGACAATGAAGGGCTTGTCAGGGTCGGGGTGAGTCAGGATAGGTGCGGAGGTGAAGCCTTTCTTGAGGGTTTCAAAAGCTAGGTGTGCAGCGTGGGTCCATTTGAATGGCAAGTCTTTGCGAGTGAGCGTGGTCAGGGGTGCAACGATCGCAGAGTACCCTTTGATGAATCGCCGGTAGAAGTTGGCAAAACCAAGGAAGCGCTGGATGCCTTTGACATTCGTCGGGGGTTCCCATTCGGTAATGGCAGCCGTCTTCTTTGGGTCCATGGAAATGCCTTGCTGGGAGATAATAAACCCCAGGAACTCAACAGAGTCACGGTTGAATTCGCATTTTTCCGGTTTCGCATACAGCCCGTGCTGGCGGAGTCGTGAGAGCACCTCTCGGACGTGGTTGGGGTGGTCTTCTGGGTTTTTTGAGAAGATCAGAATGTCGTCAAGGTAGACCACAACAAAAACGTCGAGAATGTCACGGAATATGTCGTTCATGAGGTGTTGGAATACTCCAGGGGCATTGGTGAGCCCAAACGGCATGACATTATACTGGAATAGGCCGTAGCGACATCGGAACGCTGTCTTCCATTCATCCCCTGGCCGGATCCGAAGAAGGTTGTAGGCTCCCCGGAGGTCAATCTTGGTGAGCCGGCGTGCCCCTCGAAGACGATCCATGATGCTGTTAATCAAGGGCAAGGGATAGCGATTCTTGATGGTGATATTGTTGAGTCCACGATAGTCGACGCACAGACGGAGGGAACCGTCCTTTTTCTTGACAAAGAGGACTGGGGCACCGGCGGGAGACTTGGAGTGCTTGATGAACCCCTTAGCTAGGTTCTCTTCAAGGTAGTCACAGAGTGCCTGCATTTCAGGCTCGCTGAGACTATAGACCGGGCCGAACGGTGGCTGTTTGCCCTCTTCTAAGTCGATGGGACAGTCGTAGGGTCGGTGCTCTGGGAGGGTATCCGCGTTCTTCTTGGCGAAGACGTCCGCAAAATCTTGGTATTCTTCAGGAATGATGGCCTTCGGATCTTTTGGAGGAGTGGTCGCCAGGGCTTGGGAATCTGACTTGGTCGGATTGGCGTAGGCAATGAATGCCTGGTCATGCCTTGCCGCCACACGGAAAGCTGGGGCGCTGATAAACGATACGTGGATCGGTGTGGGTGCTGGGTCCAGTGTGTTGGGTGTCTGGGCTAGGGAGACTGAAATCTCGTCTTGATGGATACGGATCAGAGGTTCAGGGGTTCTTGAGGGCTTCGGGCTAGGTTCTGTTGGCAGGGCATCCCAGGAGGCGTATTGTCCAAAACCGCAATGGCAGCGGACGCAAAGAGTGCGAGTCTTCCAGTGTAGCTCCACATCATGGAGCTCAAACCAGGGAAGCCCCAGGATGATTGGCGCATGCGGGGAACATGTCACATGGAATACCACCTCCTCAAAATGGTCGTTGACCCACATGCCCAAAGGTTGGGTGTGATGGGTAATGGAGCCCGCATGGCTGGGACGTCCGTCAACCAGTTCAAGCGCAATGGGGTCCTCCTTCTTGACAAGTGGGATGCGGTGCTTGCGGGCATAACTTTCGTCGATGAAGCACGACATCGCACCGGTGTCAAGTAGTGCTGAAAGCTCAACTGGAGCTCGCTGGGCCGATATCTGCAGGGTAACAGGGTACTCGAATGGTGGGGATGGGCCCAAAATCCGCATGGGTGAGGGTATCTCAGATCGGAGATTGACATTGTTGGTGGTCAGGAGAAGGGTGTTGCTGGAGATGCCAGGATCGGAGCAAGGTTTTGTGGCTTCTCCCTTGGCAGTACTTGCGTGGTGAGAAGGCCCAGGACAGGTGTTGCCCAGCTGCTCGGCCTTTACTGCAGCTGGACTTGGGCAAAATCCTGGATGGGTGCAGGTTCCTTAACCGCGACATTCGCCGTGCGTATCTTGTTCGGGCAGAGTTTGGCTATGTGGCCGGGTTTACCACAGTAGAGGCAAAGTTTGTTTGTGATGCGGTGTTGGCGCTCTAGCGGTGTGAGGGGTCCTCGCGGACGAGCAGCGTCAATGATCATAGGGTCGTCTGGGCGGTTGTCGGGGCTCATGAGGGTGGGGCTAGTGGTAACTGGCACATATGGCTGTCGGTTCCTGCTTCGCTCTAGACGGCGCTCAAACAATCGGTTGTCACATTGGATGGCCTGTTCCATCACGGTGTCGATTGAGGCGGTAGGGGGCATCGTGAGCATTAAGTCCTTGACGTCTTCTTTGAGGCCGCGACGGAAGGTGGCAATCAATGCCTGGTCATTCCACGACACATCGCATTGCAGCTGTCGGAATTCAGCTACATACTCTGTTGCTGCACGGGTTTGTCGAAGGTTCTGGAGCTTGTTTTCGGACGTGCGGATCCTGTCGCTGTCTCCAAAGACTGCTTGCATTTGCTGGATGAAATCATCCAGGTTCGTAAGGGAATGATGGTCTTGTTCGACAAGGGGCGCCAGCCAGGCCTGGGCGGTGCCAGTGAGGTAGGTGCCAATAGTTCGTATCTTGGTCTGATCGTTGGGGTAGCGCCTGGGTTGAAGGGCGAACATGAGCCGGATCTGGTTGAGGAACCCACGGAACTTGCTTCGGGTGCCATCAAATTTGTCTGGGAGACTGATTTTGGGTTTGGGGGCGTGGGTGGCAGGGGCAGTGGTCTGGGTTTGCGCTAGTTCGGCTTGTAGGGTGGTATTCTGCGCTCGAAGTTCGTCAATCGCATTGCACATGGCTTGCCAGGCTTCGGCCGTGAGGGGAAGGGCGTCGGACATGGTGATTTGGCGTGGAGGTACAGCGGCTGGGGGTTGTTGAGCAGATCAAACTGTTATGAATGGGCGGAGCCGATGGAAATAGAGGCGACTTGTGGTGCAGGTTGTTGACAGGTAATGGTATTCAGACCGAAACAAGAACTAGAACAAGAGTAGGAAGAACTGGTGTTGATCTGCTGGGGGATCAGGAAGTGGGGAGCTCAGGGGAGGCGGCTATTTATGTTTTTCTGGGAAGGCTGGGGAAGCGTGGGGAAGCAGAAGGGTACGGAATGAGAGGGAAGCCAAGAGAAGCGCCAAGGGTGGGGAAGCATAGAAACAGAAGACTGGGGATGGGGTGGCTACGCTGAGGCTGTGGGCGGGTACGTGGGGAAGTATGGAGAAGGGTTTGTGAGCGCCGAGTGTTGGGAGGTGTGGCTACGTGCGGCTGCGTGGAGAAATGAAGGCAGTGGCAGGTGTGGGGTAGCGCGGCTGCGTGCGGCTGCGAGGTTTGGCAGATGTCAGGTTTTGACAGGGAATTGACATTGACTGACTGTTGGGATGCTGTCATGAGGTAAGCGCGTGGTATGGACGCGTCGTCCATAACAGTGGAAGCTAATCATGAGGCTAATCTGTTGCCATAAAAAATGAAAAATCAATTCCCCCAATCAATTGTTAATGTGTTATAATCAAAATCGAATTCTCTGTTAAATTTCGCGCATTGAGCGTCCATTCATATGGGATCATATGTGGTGTACTATGGGAAGCGTGTACTGTGAAGGCCAGTAACGCAAGACCAGTAACGCTTATAGTAACGCAGTGTGACTCACACACATCGCGCTCACGCGCATTTCATTGTACCTACTATGTACATACGTAGACAACGAAGAAGAACGAAGACCTGAACGAAGACGAACACCTGGTCCGGACTTCAGCAGGTGGGTGTCGTTTTAGTCAACTATGGTGCCACCGATGCCTTCCTTTGCAGCGTCTTAGTAAAACCTCTCTGCCGTCTCCGCCGAAATGTCAGGAATCCTGAATGAGGTAGTGGAAGATTGGACTTGGCCGCATCGGGTGATGATGGGGCGGGCACTTTCGTCGAATTTTGCAAGGCCCCGAACTTTTCCTTGCCCACCGTCGATCCCCTCCATCAGAGAAACTCACTTCCCTCGAGGGCAGAACGTCAGGTCTCAGCTCTCAAGGGACCCTGCAAAGAAAGCTTGATTCAGACATGCTTCCCACCTGCTTCCGAACGGCAGCACCGCGGTGCCTCACTGCCTCCGCACATCGTCCTCATTCTCCCTGTCACACGGACGTCTCCATTGACTCTCCAACCGTAGCTAAACTTGTTCCTCTGCCAATCCGATAGCTGCTGGTGGAGTTAAGGCCACCGGACTCGAAGTCGCACCTTCTTTGCACCCTTCAGCAATGGACGACACATCCACGCCCAAGACCGAGACCGGTCCGCCCGTCGTGCTCCACGCGCCCCCAAAGCGACGCCGATCGTTTGCGCTCAACATCCGCGTCAGCCTCCGTTGCTGCTGCACCCTGCTGTGCGGCGTTCCACTGTTCCTTCTGTGTGCCTCAATTGTCCTCGTATCAGGAGATTGGAACGGGAACGCTCAGTGGCGGCAAGACGTGTTGGGGTATGATGTGAAAGGCGACCACCGTGAGCATCGAATGGCGCCTTTCCTCACGGACAATGTGTTGTGGGACGTGTACTTGCGGGTCAGCCTGCCGATGAATGATAAGGATAGAAATACGATTTTTTCGGGAAAGGTGTTGGATGGAGTCCCGTTTAGAGAGCATCACCGCAGAGAGGCGCTTTTGAATTTGACCGTCCCAAATCTGTGCCGACTGTAAGTTTCATCAGCTTCGGTGTGCTGTTTCCGGTTTCAGGAGACCTGGTCTTTTGCAGTATTGATACGCTCTTGTTTTGTCCGATATGATACGTAGGAAGAGGGAAGACCGCTTCACAGCCACGACGGTCTTCCTTCCGTCCGGGCACGGTCATAATCTGGACGACGTCTTCCACCTACGCGTTCCCTGGGGCGATGCGAGAGAGTCCTGTGAGGTGGATCGGAAGGACATAGCGTATGTGCGGACGGATGACCTCCTCTATTGGCCGCCGGCATTGCCGGTCCCCGGTTCTTCAAGTCCGCCATTTCTACTAACCCGGCTATCCATCGACGTATTTTCGGAGCGCGAAATATTAGCCCATGAAAAAGTGGTACGATGGTTGGACGAAACCGGCATAGAGCGATTCCCTGTAAACGGGAGCACGTTCCAGAAGGACGCCGTGAGCAGGACAAAAAAAGACCACCCAGCTTGCTCATTTGCTTACGTGCAATTGTACGACCGGTCCTGCATGGTGAGAGACGGACATTCAAGCACATGGCAATATTTTCCTGACTTCGTTAATTATGGCTGTCGAGTTCGTCCGCTTGACCTTGTTCGGCTAAAGGAGTGCAATGGTGTGTCGGGGAACCCAGGAGCAGGTGAGACAGTCTATCGTCTTGAGCAAATCGCCGTCAGGGACTCTGATGTGTTATTCCGCGTTGTAATTCCCAGTGATCAACTCCATCTACCCGCTTCGGCTTCGAATTATACGTTCCCCGGAAATGTACCTTACCGCGCTTCAGAATAACGAAAGCAACTCCATGCCATGGTACCGTTCCGCTGATGATCCAACTACTCTGAGGCTTCAGGAAGACCGGGAGATGCACAACAAAATGTTCGGAGACACTGCATCGTGGAAGGAGTACGCGACCGTCCAAATCAAGATATACACCGGGCATGCCATGCTGATTGCCGTAATCATGCACAACACTTACTGGTTTCGCCTCAATTCGACGGTTGGACTAAGCCGCGAGTCCATCTTCCTAACCACAATGATGTTGTTTTGGGTCCGGATTCTCAACGGTACCTCTCACCTCAACTGGATTGCGTACATCGCTTTCGGTCTCAGGCTGCGCGCGGCATTGCATCCCTACATCTGGGTGTCACGACGTGGGGTCAAGTGGGGCTGTCATGAACTGCAGGAGAATGAGCGCAGGAGTCAACGGATGGATGAGCAAGTCGGATGGCGAACCAGATGGGCGGTGCGTTAACTGGCTATGATTCTAAATTGGTCGAAGCAGGCGCTTGACTCAAAGCTCAAGCTCAATTTTCCTTCTTGCATCCCAGATTGTTCTTGCAGTGGTCCTGCTCAAGCCGCTTTGCGAACAGATTCACCTACCCTCGCCCCTAACCCCGCGCGGCGTTTGGGAGTTTTATCGCAAACAAACGCAAGTTACCACCGCAGGGTTCATCTTTGACAGCTTGCAAGCAAATTTCAACTCCCGCACGAAGCTCTTTGCTGGATCTTACAAAGTCGTTAGAATTCTCGATGGGTTGGCAATGTTGGTGATGATTGTCCTGGAGGACACCACGGCGGGGTTTCCGTGGCCAACGGCGCTTTTGACGGTCGTTCATGTGTATCAGGCGGTGATTTATCCGACGCCATCGCAAGCGGCTGGATGGGCAGACGAGGCGCACCGAGACTAAAGTCCCGTGGGCATCTTTTCTCCACGCGGTTAGCATTGTCTGCGGAGTCTAGGAAGGGAACCTGTTGCTAGGTACTAGGTGGACATGGGAGGCTAGCTCGCTCCGACGTTGGTAGCATTAAGTCAGTACAGGAACACCTTAGTTAGAATCGGGATAGTCTTCCAAAGGTTGCTATCATGCCCCGTGTCATATCCGCCCTTGCCGCATGTATCAGAGTAATTTCAGTCGAAGCGATGGTACCTGCCGAACGAGGACGGGACCTCGTTCACAGCACAACATATGCGTCTTGGCGATCGGGAGCTCAACATATCTGTCTTGGGGACCGGGAGCTCCGACGTGTGAGGTCGAAAGACTGGACACGGCCGAGGTTCCTGTCAAAAATCCTGAAAACTCCGCTCTCCGAGTTTCCAACAGCCTCGTTCAACAGCATCCCATCCCATCAACACCGTCAGCCCCAGGGCTCATCAGCACTCCTCTGACACCGTGGGGTTATTTCGCTCCTTTCGCTGACCCGCAGCACAGCTGTGATGTAGCGGATGTCCACACCGGCCGCAGAGTCAACGGCCGCAGACCGTTGGGGAGGATGGAACCGAGCTGCGTACGCAAAGCAACCGAGAGAGCGTTCCATCACGTGGGTTCCATCACTCCATGCGCATTCGACGTCCTCGTCCAACGTCCCTAACGCATTCCGGCACTTCGAATGGTACAGTAAGCGAGACGTTCTTCACTTATGGCCATGGAGACCTGATGTTTGAGGTCAGCGTAAAGTACTTTCCAGGTGAGGCGAGGTCGACTGCAACCAATTTGCTTGACAAGAGAGACAATGAGAGCCAAGTGTTTTGAGTCTTTCGAGTCAGCTCAGATTCCAGCAAGCTAACCCTGTTCGAAGCGACGGTGAGTATAATGGACGGGAACTTCTGGCGTGACACCAATCGTGATGACGGGAATCGTACATTCCCCTGAGAGATGATGTAGCTATCGTCCCATGTAGCTTGCTGGCACTTCTCGAAGATCGTGAGCTTGATTGGCTACAAATCACGACGCCAACGATGCTGGCTTGGTGTGTTGGTTATGTGCTTGAGAAGAGGAATCCGAAGAGGTTTGTTCAAACTGAGGGGTTGATCTATTGATCTATCCGGCCAGGAAGAGAAGCGATTACTGTAGATGGGCGGCGACGAGCACGAGAGGAGTGCCGTTGTAGATGGTGTGATGTGATGGGGGTCTTATGTATAGAGAAGCACGGTACAAGGAATATGCATAGGGGAATTGGCAAATGGCAAAACAATCTTCAAAGGCTCGCTATGTCGCATACGCACATCAAGCAGTTACTCAACTGCCTTAAGGTCTCGTCGTCCGTGCTATGACCGTTGCTAGTCCGTACCATCGTAATGTGTTGAGGTGGGGCGTACGCCGGTTCTACTACTGATCTCAATGATAGACACTGCCCAAAGGTGGCTTTGGCAAGACCGGTCAACTTCCTTGAACGCCACCGTCGGCTCTTCGTCTTACACCATGTAACAACCGTCAGCGCCTTCCACAACCCTTTGTCGTAGGTAGGCCGTACGCGCCACTTCCCTCGAATACTTGTGATCCCCCTTCCAGCTGTTTTGCCCCGTCTCTGATGGGCATGGGCAAAGAGTAGTCGTCCCCCTTCCTGTTCGAGTCCGTCGCTCCATTCCCATTTCCTTGACTCGCGTCTTCACCCGAATGAGCACTTCCACTCCCTATCCTATTCAGCAGTTCCTCCGCACCGTGAATGGAATAGTAGCACCTCCACATATCCGGCCCGGCTCAACCCCGTCGGCCGTTCCTGGTGTTGACTGCTCGTGAGGAGCCTCCACCGTTCGATGCGTCTTGATAACCTCGTCCTGGTTGTCTGTCCATCCTCACGTCTCCTCTCCGCTGACCAGTAAAAGTCATCATCTTCATGTCACTAACAGAATGCCTCACATTCTGTTTGTTGACTTTCCGTCGCTCCTCCTTGGGAATTTTCTTATCCACCATACTCCGCCAAACCAGTAGCTCATCTTTGTTTAGGTGACAGTGATGATACCTTTTGCGTGCGGATTCCCTGACTGCAGCTCTCAACATCCCGCAAATCTCCCCATCTGTCGGAACGTCCCCCATTTCCAAATATCCATACAGTTCTGACCATGTTCGAACGCGGTAAATCTGCTTGATGTTGTCAACAAGTCTCGCGGCGACTCCAGCTGCAGGGTATCCATACGTATTCTGGAGAATATACCGCATTGTCGATGGCGAGTAGCAGTCTGTGTTACTGTGGTCGTCCAGGAAGAAGTTGCCGAGATTGCTGACGAACACATTCTGGAACATCAGCATCCGCAAAGCCGTCTTGCTCGATTCGAAAGTGTCTTCCATTCGAAGGGTGTTCAGCTCTTGTTCCTCAAGGTAAGCAAGATATCCCTTCCCCTTTCCTCGATCCGGGTCGAGGCACCAAAATACATTCCGAGCTCGCATTTCCGTAAAATACTTCTCGAAAACGTCTTTCCAGGAGTGGTCTGCACTCATGTAAAGTTGAGCTACGAACTCGCCTAGGTCGGGTGTCTCATGTTTCGTTCGCGCATTCTCATCAGTTTTGAATTGAAGGAGGCTGGCCTCTGCCGCGCCTTTGAGCTCCGGGAAATGGTGAGCGAGCGAGAGAAGCAAGTGAATGATATGGAAGTACCCGTTCATCATCTGCTCAGAAGCGTGGATAACCGTACGGAATAGCATCCCGGCTTGAGCCAGTTTCTTCCTTTCAATGCGCTCTTCCACGAGGGCGTAGGATTCGAGCACGCCAAACATATTGGACACGGAGACATTCGCAGTTGTCGTACGGTACGATTCTTCCCAAGCATCGCAGTCTTTCATCAATTTGACTAATATCTGGTTCAACATCTTACGAAGAACAAGGGATGCGGTGTGTGGATTGCGAGCCTGCAGTAAAGGCGTGCCGGCAGGACTCCTTGACACCCCTGTCCCACCAGGGTTTTTGCGAGCAAGTCCGTTCAGCCGGATGGTTTCCGACGGAGACAGGAGGCGCTCGGCAATCTTGTCGACGCAGTCAAGCAAAAGCGGGACCGCACCCTCGAAATGACCGGGCTCCAGGGCAAGCGGCAGGAAATGTGTGAATTTACCACCCCAAACACCTTGGCGATGTCCAGACTGAAAAGTGTCATAGCTCAAAATATCGTAGGTTGAGGAGATATTTCGCCCGTGGATCACGATGCCGATTCCGAGAGTACACTCATGAAAACTTTGGCGAGTAACAAAGCAGACGGTCTGTTTCCGCATCTGGATGGAATACATCAACTGGCCAAACGTGGGTACGGCTTGGCTCAATCGATGCACCTCGGTGTCGGAAAGGTTATCCGCGATTTTCAGCCATATATCAGGAATGATCCGATGCATTTCGTCCGGAACAATGACCCTCTTGCCAACCATCTCTTCATTTCGCTCTTGGTGCGGCTTCGGGGTCGCTTTCGTGCCCCGTTTCTCACACTCTCCCTGTCCCCGGCTCCAATCCGCTTGGTTCTGGCGCCACTCCTTTTCATTATCGACGACCAGGATCCCTCCGCTTTGATTGTAGGCGCACTTTGTACATGTAAACTTCTCGGCAGACATTTTCTCGATATGCCCATGGTCGTAAATAGTCGTTTCCAGCTTCGTGCCCGTGTGAGCGCTTTCGACTTCTTCCGCAGTGAGGAAAGACAATAGCTGCAGAAAAAGGCTGGATAGCGTATAAGCAGGGGAGTATCCACCGTTGTAGCCGTCGTCGTACTGAGCTAGTCCGGGGTCGAGAATGTCGCAGCATATCCATCCACTGGAGAAGAAGTTTCTGTGGAGAATTCTAGTGGAAGACCGTACCACTGGCGGCTTCAATGGATAGCCGCTCGGGAAGGTGACGTCAAAGTGAAGCCGCAACCCCTTGAGACGACCTTGCTGAGGCTGCAAAACCAAACAGAGGGTGTGCACCTCATCTTCGTGAGGATAAGCAAACACGCCTGGCACTGGCTCACGTTGGAGGAGCTTCAGCTCTCGCAGGAGCCGGCTTGCAGCGGACATGGCCCCGCCCGTTCGGTTAGGATAGGAAAATCTGCGACGAGTACGGTGCGTCCACACGAGTCAACGGCCGCAGACCGGCGGGGAGATGGATAACGGAGTTGCCTTCTGTAGAGTAGTGGATCTGGAGTCGAGTGTGTGGGGGTGTTGTTAAGCTGATGAGAGTTGTACCGGAAGGAAGGAAGGAAAACGTGCCCACTGCCAAGACTGCCATGCTCTTCTTCTCTTCGCGAGTTGCAACCCGCCAGCCTTTCTTCGAGCACCCCAAGTTCCATCGCAAAGGTGGATATTCCCTTTTGTCATGTCCGGCAACCGGTTTGCAGCGCTTGCGGAGGACTTTGCACCTCCGCCGCCGGCCAGCCATCGTGGCCCAGCCAGCAGCGACTTTGAAGAGAGTAGTGTCTCCGAAGCAAGCGGACGATCCCGTGCTTCCTGCAGAATTCACGACACATGGGCTTTCAGAGCGCTTTCGGTGTACAGTATATCACAACAAAACGCTCGACCCTTCGGTCACCCGCCAGACGTTCCTGAGGTGGCGCTCGCCGCAGCTGTGCACTGACAACCCCACCGACGTCACAAACCCATACTACATCGCCATGATCAAGGCCGGGTGGTGTGGATACTCGGTGTCCAAGCATTTCATGGGCGACCGTTTTGCCATTGGTGCAGGGCCAGTATGGTGCTTCTCCCGCTACGGCAGGAGCCGTACGGTCCTCGACCGTCCCGTGTCTTCGTTGGGTGGGACTATTCTCGAGGCAGGAACAAAGATCTTCATCGCGGGCGAGCACGAAGACAGCAGTGATCCCGATTTCTACATCTACAATGATGTGACCATCGTTCGCCCGAATGGAGACATCAAGGTTTACCAGTATCCCTGGCACGTGTTTCCCCCTACCGATGGGCACTCCGCGACGCTCATTGGAAACGAGGTGTGGATAATTGGCTCGGTGGGATACCAGGGCGCACGCGGCGACAAAGCGCAGGTTTGCGTTCTTGACCTGACCACCATGGAAATGTCAGGAAAGGTCACGATCGGCGACGATCCAGGCTGGATCGCGGATCACACGGTCATTCGAGTAGAAGCGGATGAAATTGAGGTGCATTATGGCCCTCCCGGTCGTGCTCGTTCGACAGTACAACCCGGTAGCTGGATATTTCACATGCGTGAGCTTCGGTGGGAAAGAGGAACTCAGCAGAAACTTGTTCCGGAAGATACCAGCATGGATGAAGCGAGTTTCCGGGGGCTGCCGGAGATTCTGGACTTTTGGAAGGCCAAAGGGATGCCCTGTGTGTATGGCACACAGGGATGGTGCCAGTATGAACGGGTTCGTTTCAGTGCTGGACTGGTGGAAGACGAGCGGGCTTGCCCTCAAATTCACTGCACGTGCTAACGACGCTAGCCGTAACGGTCACATCAAGGTCTTGGATTGGTGGAAAAGCAGCAGCGGGCTCACCTGTAAATGGAAACGACGCCAGCCAGAACGGTCAAGTGGAGGTGCTGGAGTGGTGGAAGCGCAGTGGGCTGACTTTTCGATACAGCAACTTGAGCAACATTGGGCGTCCTCCAATGGGTGCATCGCTGTGCTGGACTGGTGGCGTACCAGCCGTTTGCCGCTCAAAATGGACTATCCGGTGGACGAAGCTAGCAAACAGGGCAATCTCGCAGTCCTTGAATGGTTCAAGAACAGCGGGGATCCGTTTTCCATGGACCAACCGGTCCAGGACTGGGCCACGGGTTTTGGGTATGTAGAAGTATTGGAATGGTGGAAAAATAGCGGTCTGCCATGTAAATGGTCCAGGGACTGGCTGCGGCGGTGGCCTAGCGGGCTTCGCATCGATCCAGCAAAGAATGCTGCAGTCAAAAAGTGGTGGACCGAAAACCGGCGAGATCTGGAACTCAAGTGGGGGAAAGTGGTTCACGATGCCCGAGGTCGTTGAATCGGAGCTACATAACATCATCCCTCCACTGTTGAGATACATTGCAAATCGAAGTCGCGGGATGCTGAGATGTACTCGTCGAGGAGGACCGCTGCAAACTTGACGCGACCGACGATCTTACGCATCCGTTCTTCCGGACCGACGTGTTCCTGGTTGCATTCGCCGATACCAAGCTGTAGTGAGGATTGCCTACATATACGCTGCTGCAGTTACCAAGTCGTCAGTCGCCACAACTATCCGTAGCGCAGATGTCGAGTCTTTTGGAGTAGATGAATCCAACATGTCAGCGAGACATGTCTCGCTAGGCTAGTGAGACATGTCCCGGACAGTGTTCTCCCGTGGACTCCAGCCTCATGGGTACTTTAACAGTGCTTGTCGCGCGTTCGCAGCGCAGCACCTGAGGCCGACCCGTGCTGCGTCACCCATAATTGGACTATTGTCGCGAAATTGTCGCAACGCCGCCGGACGCTATTTTTGGCCTCTCTTCCCTACCCACCATTGCCAACATCATTGCCATCTCTGCAACAGACATACACATACAGAACCTCCGCTGGCAATATTTGGGTTCAGCACCTCCTAGGCTTGAGGTTCACAATAAACAACACTCAATTTGGATCACAGGCTGCTGAGAAATATGGGTGAAAGTGATGGAGGTTCGTACACCTGTACCATGTCTGCCTTGAGCTGGATCACCTTGCACAATATAAGTTTTTGTTCCTTGTCCTCTAGTTCCCAAGAGCGTAACGCGTCATGATGGTATGGAGGTTGTGCGGTGCATGACGGCACTCCTCCCACAATCTGGAAGGACCTTACAAAACCTGCCGTAACTCAACCAGTTCGGAACTTTTTTCAGATATTTTTGCTGATTCTGATAGCCCTGTTAATTCCGCTGAAGTCTCGCACCAATGGCACCCACGCGTTGCTCTTGGCTGTCCAGCGCTCGGCGTCGAAACGAGGAAGCTCCTTTTTTTCTGGAGCGGAAAGCGGCGAGACGACTGATAGTGTCAGTTGCTGTCAAACCACGTTCCTTGTCGACAAGCTGAACTGCCCGCGCCGGTTCTTCTTCCTCGTTCCACGTTGTTCAACCTTGCTTGGCAACAGCGGTGGACCCGTATGTAGCATTGAACAAGATCAACGACAAACAGCCGCCAAAGCCTTACGAGCTCTGCAGGGCGAAATGACCTCCAGGCCACGTCGCCTCCAGATCGTGTCGGACCTCCACCTGGAGTTCTATCTCAAGAAGCCTCTTCCCGAGTTCACCAGACATGGAGACGATCTCGCGTTACTTGGAGACATCGGCAAACCTTGGGAACCCACGTACAAAAACTTCATCGAAAGGGAGGCGAGCCGGTTTGACAACGTCTTCCTCCTTCTTGGCAACCACGAGTATTATCACCGGTACGCTCCGGTCGAGAATATCCTTGCCGAGGCCGAAAAGGTCGCCGCCTGTTTCCAGAACGTGCATCTGCTTGAACGATCAACGTTCGATCTGACGGCAAGCACGCGACTTCTGGGCGCCACCTTATGGTCGGACATAGACAGCTATGCGAGTCAGCGTCTGAACGACTTCCGCACCATTCGAGACAAAGACGGTCCCCTTACGCTGGAACGCTATCGTCAATGGCACAAGCGGGACGTGTCTTGGTTAGAACAAGAGTTGGAAAGGTGTCGTCAGGAAGGCGTCCATGCGGTCGTTCTGACGCACCATGGTCCCTGTCAGGCTATGTCTGGCAAGTTTTTCGGTGACGCCTTGAACCCGGCTTTCGTTACGAACCTGGAGCGCCTATTCGCCCCTCCCGCCATCGCTTTCGCCAGCGGACACGTGCACAGCAACTGTGATCTCGAAGTGAACGGTATTCGTTCGGTTTCCAACGCCAAAGGATACCCGGGGGAAGCGACGGGGTATAAAGAGGACGTCGTAATCGACATTCCGTGATCGTTCATGGTACATACGAACTCCCCGCTCTTTATTTCCACTGTGGACGTTGTCCCTCTCATCATAAATACCATAAATACCATATCGGGATGTATCTGCGCCGCCAGAGAGCTCTAACGCAAGAGATCTACTGTATGTACATGCCCCGACGCGACGACCTGGGAAAATTACAGACAGGTACAGCCGGACCTCATTCTCGTGTCGAGTAGCATCGGGTCGAATCCAAACCAGCGTGAGCCGCGTGGGGTTGGTCAACGGCGGTGCTGACGGCTTAGGAAGCACCGCGGTGGTGTATCTGGATGTTGGCAAGGGATTTCACCTGTTCATCAACATTCCGCCACATGTATCATCGGTTTCCTTGAACATCAAGGCTGTCACGCTCCCGGGGACCCCTCGCTTCACAGCGGAGGGTGCCGCTTTGCATCCCGATGGACAAGGCAGTGCCTGAAGTATGGCGTTTGGACAACGAAACGGACCCCGGATTCGGCCATTCGGTTGCACGCTATGGCCAGCTGGAACTAGTCAACGGTTTGGTGGATGGTGGCAATCTACGACTGGAAGGCGCGGCATACTTTGACGAGGCCATCGTGACACGTCATGTTTTCTTCTTTGAGCGAACCTATCGAATGCAGCACGCGGGGTTAAGCTCGAATCTATATCGGTGAATCGATTAGTTTCGCTGCACCGCTCGTAGCCGCCGTCCCTAGCTTGAGCGTAGGAACCTGCGAAGAACCCGTTCGGTACCGCACATTTCGAGCTGTTGCACATCACAGAAGACAATGCAGTTCAGAGACTCCGGGTGCTGGACACCGCTGCTCTTGAGGGCCCTTTGGCCGTTACCGGCCCAACTCTTCTCGGCAATATCCTGCGGGTCTTGACAGACGTTACCGTTGGGAGCGATTTGGTGGCTAACACTGCCCGGTTTGTTGACACCTTGAAAGCTGCCTGCATCGTCAGCCCCCGAGTCGCGAACAGCTTACGTTGAGCGGCCCATTCACCTTCCGCGGTGCACAAGATGACACGGTGATACTAGAGCAGGATAGTCGCGGGTTGAGCGTGAGCAGCGAAGCATTCAATGTTACGTCAGATAGAGGCGTACTGCGATTCACCGCTGACGGCATTGTCAGCAGCTCTACCGACCTGCGTCTCAGCGGCGGGCTCAATCGATAGCAAGGTGATAGTCGGGAGCGACGGTTGCGATGTTGTTGCGGCCGTAGCAATATTTACCGGAACACGGACTTCCGCGCTTTATTGGGCCATGCTCATTTCCACAAGGACGTCACGGTGGAAGGACATTCTCGCCTTCTAGGTGAACATAGCAGCCGTAAACGGCCAAGGCCTCATCCTCGTCAGCTCGGATGATTCCACCGGGGCAATTTACGATCAAATCAAAAGAGAACCTTCCTCGCCTTTTGTAACATTGGACCGCCGGCGACAAGGTCGACCTCACAGTCCCTGATGCAGGTGCGGTTGGCCTCACTGTATCGGCTGCGGGCGATCTTACGGTTCCTTCGGGTAACCTCACTTGTGTGGGCAACGGCACCTTCACCGGCTGGGCGACAGCTGCACATGGTGAAAGCTTTTGCTGCGGGCATCAGGAAAAACACCAGCTTAGTTAGCGCCCATAACACTCGGGGTCATTCAGTCATTCCACTTCAGTCATTCCTTTTCATACGTTGGTTGCTTTCTCCGTCAACGACGAGATCCTGCACGGCCTCCACAAAAGCTACGCTACGCAGGGGATTATCGAGGACTGCACCGACGAGATGCACCGCTTGGCCACATTACCTCCCCAGCCTTCATGGTTTACCCCCCCCCCCCCCCCCCCCCAAATGGCGCCACATTGTCGACTACACCGGCAAGCATAATCGCGCGTCGGAAGTCTTCACGAACACGATTAAAGCTATTCTGAAGATAATACGCATCAACGGCCACGACTTCCTCAATGTCTCGACAACGCAGCTCCAAACGGGCCAGCTCATTCGCATCCAGCCCATCCAGCGCTACTTTACTGAGTTCTCCTTCGCCGACCTACGGGACATTCGGCGTCAGAAGCTCGACCGTCTCGTCTCCAACAACGTCCTCGAAGCAATAGCGGGAAGTCCGCAGCCTCCATCGCGAGCGACCTGGTTTCGACTCAGTTTCGACTTCTCGAACGCGCACGTTATCCACATGACGGACAACACGCCGACTTCAACAAAGGCCGCGCAGCAGGCGCTCCGCATTCCCGGCACAGAAAACGTGATAGCGGAGAGCGGACCTCGACTCGTCAGCAGAATAATCAGAACGACTACCAGCTCCCGCGAATCCTTCGGCCTATTAAGGGTCAACGGCAGTTGAATGACACGATGGAGCTCTTCGCCACCGGCACGAATCGCAATCCCCGCATTCCGAACTGCTGCACGTTCGACCCGCGAGACCCACAGGCCTCGACGCCTTGCAGATATCGTGGAACTAGATATGATATCACCTCTGCTACGCGAATCCGCCGTGGCTGCTCATTTTGAGCATTACCCGCAAAATCATCGACGAGGAAGTGTGCGACCTGACCGTCAGGACTCCTCGCGACAAGGACCAAAAATGGGTGGCGCAGCACGGGTGGCGCAGCCCTGAGAGGAGTGAGAGGCCCATGCCGGCTTTAGAGCGTTTCGGATTCCGCACCACCTTACCATGTGGGAGAAAGAGAAGGATGCCGGCTTCCTCCTTACATTCCTTTCAACTATCCGCCAACTGCACGGCCTACTCAACTATCCGCCAACTGCACGTAACCGCTCTATGTCGTTCTTTCAAGTCCTGTCAACAGTAGTGATGGCTCTCTGGATGGCTCTACCGCGTTCTATCAGATACTTCCTATGGATATTCGTGATTTGCCTTGGTTTTGTGCCTTCGACGGGGTGTTTTGTTCTCGCCTGTTGTCAAGCCGAACTTATTTGGTCCAAGTGCCTTCCCTTCGGGGTGACGCCCCTCACCATTGTGTGGACTTCCTTCGAAGTCGGCACAGTATGGCGGCAATTCCGCCACCCCGTTGTCGCTGGTTGTCCCGTCACGAAACGGAGTCTACTTTGGTATTCTGCAAAGACAATCTATTATGTAGCCGAGACAATCTATTATGGAATGCAAACCGACGACCACTTTCACTTGGAGAAGTGGTTCAATATCTCCGGGTTCTGTTTAGCCTTTGTCACCCTTTTGATCAGCATTGTTATCTGTAACACCAAGCCCCCGCGGGTTGTTGTCGGCAATAATGACGTTTGAACTACAAACAGCTGAGGATATCAATCCGGTGCCTGAGTAATGCAATCGGGAATGGGAAGAGGCCGATGTATACTTTATGGCTCGCTTATCTTGTTTGTGTTGTTTGCACCAGAATATAATGTTGTCTGTCTCTTTAAAAATCACGCTGTACTGATCGATCCGCGATGGCGAAGGAAGGAAGATTGCACCGTTGCAGTTGCTGCTCACATGTTCATCAGATCGCAAGCCATTCTTGCTTGCAGTTGGCCAATTCTTATACTATATAGGATAGCTGGTCCCTCTTCTCGTATCAAAACAGAACAGACCTAATCAAATGTGAGGGAGGACGGGCGGTTGTCAATGAGAGTCATCGATTCCTTGAAACTTGAGAAGTTTCTCTGAAGCTCCGTCGCAAAACGTATTGGTCAGGGATAGGTTGTAGCACAGCATTCGTTGGGGTCCCACGTAACCCTAACCCTAACCCTAAGCTGTGGCCGGACCTTTGCCATGTTAAAAGCCTCCGACTAGATGCTGATCAATGAAAAACCTAAGCAGCTGATCCCACCAAATGCAGCGGGATGGAGTCATACTGTACGTCTGGGGGACGTCATCAGGATAGACGTGGAAGGCGGCGATGGCTTCTGGGTCCAGACTCATAAACTGAAAACGATCACGGACTCCCACCAGCACCTCGTTCTCGCCGCAAACTCCGACAAACGCTTCTGCCCTCTTAGTACGCACTCAGATCGCTTGTGGTCTGGCACCAATCTCAGTCTCATTATGCAATTTCCGCTCTTCTCTTATGTTTATACGCTATGAAAATCAAAGACGCCGTAAAGGCACCGTAAACTAGAAACAGTACTACAATAAACTTAATGCAAATGCTTCCTGTCCTATCACATGCGTACAAGTGGAAAACTATTACGCCGTATGTATCATCAGCTCAGGGTTCCATAGACTCTGCAGACTTGACTTCGGCGGGTGGGAGCTCGGTGGTTTCTCCAGCCGCGGCAGTTGGGGTAGACTTTATAGCAGCAGGCTCCCCAGGCACAGGCCCCCTCAGGTATTCCTGTCTTTCCTGCTGTCTTTCCATCTCAGTCTCCGCCGGGTAGTGGAAAGGCCGGCCTCTGATACACAGATGTGCTATGGCGAGCCTAACCAGAACCCGCGTCAATTGGGGCATTTTTGCTGAAATCCATACGAACCGAAGAAGCATCAAGGGAAGTTCCGAATGTCGGCCTTACGTATGGTTACCAGCCTTTCGGTAACGCGCGACGTCGAGGCCCACCAACTCAGCACTTAAGAAGTCCGTTCTGGGACGCAAACTGCCGATGTCAACAGTTCCAGTCTGCCGAGAAGTGCATCCGACAAGAACCCGAGCCAACTCGCACAATTCTACCGATGGTGCCGAAAAATGCCTCCAAAGATTCGGAGGGGGGGAGCGGAGACTTCAACCCAGCCGATTTGGCAGAGGAAGGCAAGCTAGACGCCAGGGGAAAGAAAACCTTGCTGAAGAACATGAATATCCCATGGACAGGCTTATCGGGATTTTTCATCCTTGTCCTCGCAATGGTTGTTGTTCCGGTATGTTCAATTTTTTGGTGGGCGGTCTTTGGGCCGCACATTTATCTGCATGTTATTCACGGGGAGGGGGGAAGAGACGGGAACGATAAATTCTGCATCGAGATTGCTGCGTCATAACTTGGCCAACCATGCGGAAGTTAGGAATGCTCAGCGCTTGATCACTATAGGTTTTAGATACAAAAAGAAACCCCACCCCGCGCTATTCACTGACCTGTCATTGTCGACTGCCTCCGCTTCTGTCTTTTGCTTTTTCCCAGTTCAGTTTGAACGGCCAAAGTGGAGGGTGTCTCAAATGGCCGTCAATGGTTCGACTACCTACCGATGAAAACTCATGGTGGGAAGCAGACGCCTCTCTCAATCAAAAGCGTTCAACATTCAACGTCTATCAATTTAAGACCCCACAGCGAAATCAATTAAGTATGTACACGCTCGCCAGGAGCTGCCTACGTAATAGTACGCCGGATGATGAAAGTCGGAGGGGTTGCTAGTCCCGACGCACGACTGGGATCAAGAACCAGGTCCAGGAATAGGTCCACTACATAAAAGTCCGCAAGCGATTGCCCAGCAGCCGCTGCGCTCCAAAACACGGTCAAGGTCGGTCCCAAAAAAGAAAAGATGGCTCACTGACCATCACGCAGCCGGTGTTGATGCCGGCGGCGTCCACCCCGCGACCCGGTCCCCGTAAACGTCGCCCAACACCGCCCGCAGCTCTTTCAACCCGACCGGTTTGGTGAGGTACGCGTCAACACCGGCCTCGAACGCGTCCCGTTTGTTCCCCTCCGTATCGATCCCCGTCAGCGCCCAAATCCTCGTTCGTGGCTGGGCCCCGACGCTCCCCATCTTCTCCATCTCACGGATTCTCCTCGTCGCAGTCAACCCATCCAACACCGGCATCTGTATATCCATCAGAACGAAATCGAATCGCCGTGTAGACGAGGTGAAGGCGTTGACGGCTTGCTGGCCGTCGTGGGCGGAGACGTGGGCGATGTTGAGTTTTTTGAGGAATTGGATGAGAATCATGCGGTTTGTGGGGTTGTCTTCTGCTATTAGGCAGTGGAGCTGGTGGGGAGGCGGTGGTGCGCCGGCGGGGGTCGAGGAGGTTGAGGGGGGTGTAGTGATGAAGGGTGAGGGAAGCGTGAGGGACTCGTCGGCGGGTGTGGCGGGCACGCTTTGAGGAGCTGAGTTTGGCGGTGAGAGCACAAGGCTGGGCATCGACCTCGCGTGGCAAACAGAACGACTAGGCGTCTCATCGGGTTCAACCGCCGGTGCAAGACCCGGAACACAACCCATTGCAAGGCCAGTCCGATCTGCAGCACTCCCCAGCCCACGCCCATCTGAAGCCGACCCGCCCGCCAATTCCGGCGTCGACTTCTGCGCCAACCTCCCCCTCTCGACCGTAATCAACGACGTCGCTGCCGGTTTCAAGCTGGGCACCTTCTCATTCTGAAACGACTCAAACGCCTCAAACAGCTTATGCGGGCCCAGGGGTTCCGTGATGACTAGCACGGCGACGTCCGGTCTCTGTAGGCGGAGTTCGAGGAAGTTGACTGTGCGCGCGTGTTGAGAGATTCGGCAGAGGTAGATGATTTGGATGGCGGGTTTGGTTGAGGAAGGGGTGCTGAGGAGGTTGATGAGGTCTGGGCTTTCGCGGTCCACTATAAGGACGTCGCCGTCTGCGATGCCCTCAAGTCCGTAGGTAACGGTCATTCCATTTATGGTGAGCATGGAGGCCAGGCATCTCGCCAAGTTCGGAGATGCAACATGAACGCGAGCGACCCGGGGTGCAAGCGGTTTGATGTTTGTTGGTGACAGCGTTTCCATCTCAACGTCCATCCACATCTTTGTCCCAATCCCTGCTTCCGTCTGCACTGCAAGATTTCCTCCCAATCTCGTGACCATATACCGAGTGAGCACGAGTCCTAGGCCGGTCCCTTGTTTCAGCGGATCTTCCTGTGCAAACGGTCGGGTGAAGATGTTTGGTAGAAAGCTCTCGGAGATGCCACAACCGGTATCGGCGACCGAAAAGCGAAGGAGTCGGGGTCCCGTCTTATCCGCGTCTAGGTGTGATTTCGCCGACGCTTCGTCCACAAATGACACGGTCAACTCCACGGATCCTTCCTGAGTAAATTTCAGAGCTGCGAAGGAACGGAATGAACGGTCATGAGATCATCGGCCTAAAGCGTAGCGGAATCACTTCGATTGCTCACCATTGCCCAGCAAGTTGACCATAATCTGCCTAACACAGTTTGCATCCGTTTTCACATATCTCCATTCCCTCGGCAATGCCACGTCAAGTAGCAACTCCACATTCGGGGGACACGTCGCCGCAACCGAATCCACAACCTGTTGCAACAGTTCAAACAGATCAACCTCTTTGATTCTCGACGCTTGATTCTCGCGCTTCGATACTTGTTTCGCGACGTCGAGGACGTTGTTGATGACGCCTAGGAGGGATCGACCGCAGGATTCGATTGTGTTGACGAAGGCTTCTTGGGTGGTTGTGAGGGGTGTGAGGGCGAGGAGGTCGGAGACGCCGAGGAGACCGTGCAGGGGTGTGCCTGTGTGGGCAAGGACATTGGTTAAGCTTCAACGCAATACCCCAAGTTCCATCGAGATGGGAAACTTACGAAGTTCATGGCTGATGGAGCTAACAAACGCGATCTTGGCTACAGCCGCCTCATCCGCATAAGTCCGGTACGCGACAGTAGACATATGCGCCGAGAAGGTGCTCAAAAAAGCGAGATCGGACGCACTGAAAACCCGTCGCGAGTCTTTCGTGAACGCCATGAGCACGCCAATTTCTAGATTCGCAGCGGTAGGGTTGCCAACCTTGGCGGGGACGGCGATGCAGGAGGCAATTCCAAGGTGCTGAACGAAGGCGGGAGAACTGTCGGGGTCGTCTGGGTCGAATTGGCGCTCGATCCCCCGAGTGGAACCGAGTGTCTCGTAGACGAGGCCTGAAGTAACAGGACAGGTCATGTCGATCTTTGCGTTTGCCAAACCGGGAAGGTTGGAGCTGATGACGCGGTCGGGGGCGGTGATATCAGCCGACGGTACGGAATTGGTGGGAGTTACGCTGAGTAAGATCACACATTCGACTTCCAGTGCGTTTGCGATCAACTGCGTGCCTAGGTCGAATCCGGTCTGCAGGATGAGGGGCGCATCCCCCAGCGCCGCCCGCGCAAACTCCGCCAACGCATTCTCCCTCCTATCCCGCTCCTCCAACTCTTTTCGCAGCACCCACGCGTCCAGCCTGTCGAGCACGGCCTGCGCGAAGTTTGCCAGGACGTCCATCTCTGATTGTGCGAACTTTTTGCGTGCTTTCGAATCCATGATGCATATTGAGCCTAGATTGTGTCCCTCTGGTGTAATGACGTTTGCGCTTGCATAAAAGCGTACGAAGGGGGCATTTATAACGTTCGGGTTGTTGTTGAACCGCCAGTCTTTCAGGGTATCATATATCACCAGTCCCTTTCCGTCGTGCCGGAGAACCGAATGCGAGCATAACGATTCCTGTCGTGCCGCGGTAGAGTAGTTTGTTCCCTCCAGCTTTGTAAGAACATAGTCGTCCAACACCCAGGTCAACTGCGAAAAGAAGAAGACGTGTAAGTCGAGAAGCATCATCAACAACATCCATCAACCCTTCAACGGTCATCAACATCCATCAAACCATCAGCCATCAGCCATCATCCAACTGTCAACCATCTATCAACCATCAACCCATAATCCACCCATCAACTATCAACAAAAGGGTCCCCTAATCACCGCGCTCGCGGCGAGGATGTTGGGCTCGCTATCGCTCGCGGCCCTCGCGAATACTCACAATCACATGCCGGCTTTTAAAGTACTTTTTTGCGAATTCTAAGATATCCTCAAACCTGAGCAAGTCGTTCCCTCCTCCTCCTTCTCCTCCTCCTCCCCCCCTCTCAGTAAACAATCTATAACGATATAGAGCCTTTCTTCTTTCATGTTCAGATATTTTGGGCAAGTCCGGGGCGGGCAGGAAGGGGGCCGAGAAAGGCGGCGGGTTATCAGGCCTTGCAGGTATCCTGTCATGGTCAAAGAGCCCCTGAGCGTATTGTTGCAAGAACTGAGGCCAAGTGAGGTCGGAGCGGTCAGGGAGAGGGACGGAGGTTGTTGTTGTTGTTGTTGTTGGGGTTGTTGTTGTCGTTGTTGCGGTTGAGGAGGAAGCGGTAGTGTCTGATTGTGTAGAGGCAGCAGCAGTTTTAGTTGAGGCGAAGGCAGCAGCGACGCAACCTAGTTGTTCTGAAGACATAACGGAAGTGGGAGGGAGCGAGAGAGGAGGCGGAACTCTGCAGGAAGCAGGTAGCAGGTACAGCAGGGGGTGGGTGCCCCTCGGAGGGGAGTTGTTGGTTGTGCAAATGTCGAGGGAATGGGAAAGACGAAAGAGGGGGGGTTACTGAATGGGGGGCGACGCGACTACTTCTCAGAAGGCCACGTACGTACTGGACAGTAATCCCCCCCTCCCTTTCTTACTACTTTAGGGTCAGGCACGGTTGATTTCGTCACATCTGGGGGAACAGCGGGTTATGAAGGCCTCTTTTCTATTACTGTATGCTATTCTGTACTGTACATTATTCTCGAATCTACCATTCATTAATCGCGAATCGCCAATCGCAAGAGGAACTTTACGCTTATGGAATACGCTGGTGAAGGATTATACAAGATTCTCATGGTCTAACCCTAAAGCCGTTGTGGGGAAATACCAGCGGGCCCCTACTACCAAGTCTGTGTATCACTCTGTGTGAACCCGCCGGCACCGTCCCCACTCTGCACAAAAGTATCCGTTGTCTGGCCCCACGGCTGGCTGGTCTCGGTCACCGACTGGTTGTAGAAATCGCCTCCTCCTGCTCCACCCGCGCCATTCCCATATCCACCGCCGTAGCCATTCCCATACCCATCGTTATAGCCGTCGCCGTAGTGGTTGTGGTGATGCCCACCCATATGCGAGAGTTGGTTGACTGCGATGGCGCCGAGTGCGCCGCCGGCGAGACCCGCGCCTAGGCCCATCCCTGCGCCGTTGAAGCGACTGTTGTTGTTGGATTGTTGTAGGGGTGGTGGGGGGTAGGCTGCTTGGTTTGCGTAGGGGGGACCTGGTTGTTGCTGATACGGCGGCGGACCGCCGGGAGCGAGAGGGGTGGGGTAAGTGGCCACTGGTGGTGGAATGTTCTTTTGGCGGCGTTTACGGAGGCACATTGCCACAATGCAGGCCACGATGGCCAGAAAAACGACGCCGGCGACCACACCGCCAATCAGGCCTATCTGAACCCCGCCCCGACGGTTGTTGTTGTTGTTGTTGTTGTTATTGTTGTTGTTGTTGTTTGTGGAAATGATTGCGTTGATAGCGCCGCCGGCGGGAGTGCGAGCACAGGGCCCTGGGAAGGAGCGGTTGCAGGTGTCAGCCATGCAGAGGGCTCTGTCGGAGACCCCTACGTTGCCGACGAAGGCTGGCGAGCAGCCTCGAGTTTGGCAGCAGGAGCAGGCGCACGACAAGCTCATGGTGGGTGGGAGGTGCTGAGTTGAGTGAGAGAGATGCTTACAGTAAGAGGGCGGGAGGGAGGGGAGCCTCTCATCGGCTTATGTAGCGTCTAACCTACTACGAGTGCGAGAGAAGGGGTGTTCCTCTGTCGTCATTCCGTCCGCGTCACTCTCCGTCAGTGTGAAGAAGACTTCGTGGTAGTAAGAATAGGAGGAAAAGAGATAAACTATCCAAGAGGGCACGTGTTCTAGACAGCTCGCGCCCGCGTCATGATGGCCAAAAATAATATGCTTCAATGCCAAGTCCCTCGGGGCCTCGGGCGCAGGCGCAGGTCAGTCAGTCAGACTTGCGCTCTTTCCATATATCTACACTCACAGCCTCGCCCGCCACCTGATGGAATCGACAGTGCTCCAAGTCGGTGCTCTGCTCGTCGACGAGATAAGATACAGTACAGTACATATCATTATTATATGAATATACAGTACAGTACACAGGAATCAACGATACTCAGAAGTGACTAAAAATGCCCTGTGAAATGTGAACCAGAAGAATGGAAAAAATTAGGCCCTCCTCATACCCATCCCCTACGTCTTCCTCACATACGCCGGCTTCCCCACCGCTTTCCACCCACCACCCCCCCGATGCTTCTCCTTCCACACGATCCTCGGCCAACAGCTCAACGCACTCGTCCGCGTCCTGATCCCATTGACAAAGAGCGCCACCCGTGTCACCCGTCCTTTGCTCTCCCGGATCGCCGTGTTGAGAAGGTCTGCCCCGTGAGCTGATACACGGTTCTCAGAGAGTGAGAGCTGCGAGATCGTTGTGTGCGTCGTGGAGAGCAACCGGGCGAGGTGTGGAATACATGCGTCCGTCAGCGTGTTGAAATCCAACGTAAGCGATTCCAACCTGGGCAATAGGACCGGCGCCTGCACCGCGATCAACATCGCCCCTTCATCCGTCAACGTATTCGCGCTCAGGTCCAATTCCGTAAGGGACGACGGTGTCGAGCCCAGGGATTGGAAGAATAACTGGATCCCCTCCGCGGAGATGGCGTTGTCGCGGAGGTTGATGGATGTGAGTGTGTGGTTGGAGCGGAGTGCGACCCCCAGCATTCCGGCCGTGGGCGCCCCGAGACTGCATCGGTCGAGACGGAGGGAGGTGAGCGTGGTGTTCAGGCGCAGGGCACGGACCAGGTACGGAATGACCTAGAATTGACAGGGTTGGAGGGCTGTGAAACCAATAGTATAGGAGGACGTCCACACTCACATTATCCGTCAAAAAGCCATTATTCCCTCCCAAATACAAAAACCGCACACACTTATTCCCGGCCAAATGATTGAACACAATCTCCAGTTCGTCCGTCTCCAGCTGCGCGCCTACATAGGCCACCGTCTCGCCTATCCAATCCTCTCTCCTCAAAATCGGCTCGTCGGGGTCGTAGGCGGTGTTGAGAGCTGAAGGATAGAGGGTGCGATAGCGTGGTGGTGGTCGTTGTTCTTCGGAGGTTGGTGGTGGTGGTGGTGGTGGTGAAGGGGTGTAGCAGGGGGTGTCGTTGGCGGATGAGGTGTAGGTGGGTGGTAAGTGAGAAGGGAGGGCGTGGCGCACTGCCATGACTAATAATGCGGTGAAGGGATAAAGCGTTTAAAGCGGGAAGCTCGTGAAGTGCTGCGACAGAGGGAGAGAAGGGAGAGGGAGGGTGATTGTATAGTACGAGAGAAGGGGGGGTGCTAATGTTGATGGCAACTTGGGCGTTGAGAGTGTGTTCCATCACCTTGGCGGCGAGTTGGCGCTCACTTGGCGCTCTTTGCCGTCAGCGGCGCACGGACTCCGTACTAGGACTCCGCTCTAAGCGTCAATGAACAGCTTTCCTAGGGTCTCGTTCTCGTTTCCTCTGCAAACTCTCTCGGACTTTGGTCGTCGGGGGTTTCTTTGTCTGTGGCACCTCGCAAGGGATTCCACGCCAAGAAACCCGCAGCGCATCTTGTTACAACCGCAAGCATCTGAGATAAAAAGCGGACGGCAGCGAATACCAAACATCCCTTGCACCACAATCCCTTCCAACTCCGACATATACACCACGACCGAAACATGTCGCCACACGCCGCCGCCAATACTCTCACCGACCCATCCACCTCCACTACCACCTCACCCAAATCACCTTCACCATCACCATCACCGTCACCTCCCCCGCTCTTCCCTCTCCGGCTCTCCACCCTAACTCTCTCAACGCTGCGGCCCCACCTAACTCCAAAGAACATCTTCCTCTCCGTCCTCCTCCTCATCATCGTCGTCACAGGCGCGATCCTATTCATGTGTCTCGTCGGGATGATACGCTTCGACGACAAGGCGAGGAAGGACGCGTGGGTGGAGGTGACCAGCCAGATTCTGAATGCGTGCTTTTGTGTCAACGCGGGGATGCTTGCGCCTGGGAGGGCGAGGGATGCGTGGTTGGCGGGCAGGTGGGTTTTGAAGGTGGGTCTGCCATGAAGATGGGGCATTTTTCTCTTTTGACTTGTGTTATAGGGGGAGAGCGTTGGACGTTCCGATGTTGGGAGATACACGTTGATCTGAGCATCCCAACTTCCCTCGCTCTCCTCACTCGATCCCCTCTCAGAACGACATAAAAGCCGCACGGCAACTTGAACAACGCCAGTCGCCCTGGCTCATCATCCTCCCTCCATCCTCATGTATCGCCACCCTCGACCTCGACACAAGCGCGCCCCTCCATCTCACCACGATCGACACCCCATCATCAAAACCCCCACCACCCCTCCCGCGCAAGATTTGGCTCTCCATCCTATCTCTTCAAGCCCTCAATGTCCTCTTCCAAATCCCCATGGCAGCCGCGATGTGGATCTGGGCATCCGACCACAGCGCTCGGCCGGCGTGGCTGGTGGCGGTATCTCTCGTTGCAAGTTTTGCGTGTGGGGCTGTCGGGGGGCTTTGGCCGCTGTGGATCGTCAAGACGAGGACGAGGACGAAGGGGAAGGGCGGTGGTGAGAAGAAGGGTGAGAAGGAGGGGGATGCGAGTGGAGTGAGGCTTTTGAGGGATTCGGAGAAAGGCGAGGTGGAAGTTGAGGCGGTGGCGATGAAGAAAAGGGAGGAACAAGCGTGAGTGTATGCGCAATGTGCAATTGCAATTCATTACCGGAGATATGTTGGGGAAAAAAGGCACAGCGCATTGGGGGGGCCGCGGCCGCTCTCCGAGTCCCCCAGCGCGCCGTGGGGGATGGCATCGCAGCGATAGGAAAGCATCGCCACATATACCGCTCCGCTCAACAAAAGCACACCCCTTCACCGCATCATGTTCCATCACATCCCAAATCCATCTTGGACACTGGGTGGTGCATATCCACCTAACCCTAAAAATGCCTCCGTCATCTTTGACGAGAGGGTCTTTGTCATGCACGTGACTGACGGGCCGGATTTATTTACGCTCCTCTGAGTTCTCTCATCTCCTTGTTTCGTAAATCACTCCCCTCATCCCATTGGCTGGATCGTTTTGCCGCAATGAATGAAACACGGAGGGTGCCACACTTGGATGGGAATGGGAATCATGGGATCCCCTTCCTTGGCTGAATTTAAAGTTTTGCCGAATGTTCTTCTAGCCTCCCACGCACAGGCCACAGGCAACTATCCATGAAGCAAGCGGCTGGGGGCAGCTGTGGGAGGTGGGACTCCGAGGGAGGCAACAAGCAACAAGCAAGCAAGCAAGCGTTTGGGATTCCCCCCTCTACGTACTAGACTGGAGCCTAATAGAAGGTCCCATATAGAGCATATAGACAGTACATAGACGGCCTCTTCTTGTACCGCTTTCATCCTCACCCCCCCACCCACCGACCGCCAGATCGTTCTTCCATTCTCTCCCTCTCCGTCAATTGCTCAGTCCGTGGGAATATTCACCTCCTTACACATAGAACTATAGAGGGTGTAGACTCCAGTTCCCACCACCATGCACCTCGCAACCCTCGCCCTTGGCCTTAGCGCCCTCACTTTCAACGCCGCCGTCGTATCCGCTCAACCGACTCCCGTTGTGGTTTCGCCTATTGCCCCCGCCGCTTCTGCGTCTGCTTCCGCTTCGGCTGTTGCCGCTCCGGCTGCGACTCCCAGTGCCATCGCTGCTGGGGGTGTGGCTGCGCCTGCCGCCACTCCGGCGACGGCCGGGACGACCGCCGCGTTGCCTCAGGGAATTCCCACGGATGCTGCCTCTAAGGGTGCTTGGATTAAGTGGTGAGTATCGACAGCAGCGAGGGAGAGAGGGTAATTGAGAGCCCGCGACCGATGCCGAGCGTGGGAAAATGTGGTTTCGCGGGCGTAAGCGAGCCTGCGATCGAACTGAGCGTGGGAAAACAAGGTCTCGCGGGCGAAAGCGAGAATTCCGCCGTCGCGAGAGGGTTTGAGATTCGCAGGTCACATCGAGCATTGGATGCTTGCTCCAGCCCCATTTGAGGGTCTGCGGTCGTCAGCGAGTGTCGGTGATTTTGGAACATCGCAGGACAACTTCCTTGTCGCGAGCGGAAGCGAGCGGGGCCTGACTTTTTCCTTCCCTCTTATGCCTTCTCCACCCATGTACTAATACGTCGTACCCTCATCCGCGATTCTTGCAGGACACAAAACTCTGGCGTCGTCCCTATCCACGTCGGTCTCTTCCCCGGAGACAAGATTTACATGTCCGAGCGAGTCCACTATTACACCGCCGACGCTGGCCAAGGGTGGACCAACGACCAGCTCAAGGCGCTCGCATCCATGCCCGTCTCGCAATGGTACAACGGAAACCCCAACTTTGCAAACACGACCTTCTTCACCGACGCTGCCGAATTCAACGGCAATACCGGCAAATACATCCCTATTGACCGTGGGTTCCACAACAACTCGGCCCTGGGACAATTCCATGGTTATGCCTTCTGTGGTGGTCATACCCAGCTTGCTAACGGCAGTTACTTGGTTGTCGGTGGGGACGAGTTCTGGGACAAACCTTGGAGAGGCCAGAACTACACTTCGTAAGTTCGAACGCCGTACAGTCTTAGCTGTGCTTCCACTCTTGATCTTACGTTGACTGTTGTCTCCCTCTCTCGTTTCCTCACAGCAACGGACGATCTGACATTCGTGTCGCCCTCGCTTCCACTGATACCACCGGCCCGCAATTGATCCGCGTTGCTGACATGTACAGGGATCCCGCCCTCCAGCCCTCTACCCCGGGAGGCTCGACCTACAAGCTCTGGGGTCGTTGGTACCCTTCCGTGATCACTCTTCCTAGCGAAGAGGCTATGATCATTGGCGGACAGCACTACTACTTCGACCCTGAACATCCCGAGGCGGATAACCCTACCTTCGAAATGTGGTCCCCTGTCACGGGTCCAATGGGTGCTAGCAAGCGCATCGAACTTCTCGCAAGGCACTTCCCCATCAACATGTACCCCGTCGCTTACGTCCTGCCGAAATCAGGAAACATTTGGATTCACTCTCAGTACGAATCCGTTATCGTTGACCCCAAGGTACGTATTTGGCATCGTTTCAAGCGTTACGAGGTTCGCTTTATCCTGACTTCATATCTGAATTTCTTTAGACCGGGACGGAGACGCCCGACGTTGTATTGGACTTGACGAAGGCGAACGGCCTCTTACCGCGTACTTTCCCCTTCTCCGGAACTAACTTTGTGCCCATGTTGTCTTATCGTGATGACTACCGTATGGAATCGTGGTTGTGTGGTGGTGTTAACGGCACCTCCCCTGACGGCACACCGACCCCACGTATGAACAACGGTAAAGATGCCTGGTATGTAACCCAATTGGTCGTTTTGCGGGCACACTCAATCATTTTCTGTGACTAAATGGCGTTGGGTTGCTTAACCAGGTCCAACTGCCCCAACTGCGACCCCGTCAAAGTTTGCCACTGGGTCCAACTTGAAACTGCCGGCGCCAAATTCACCGCTGAAGACATGCCCATCGCCCGCTCTCAACCCGCCGCCGTCAACCTGCCCGACGGCACAATCGCCATCCTCTCGGGCTCCGGGAAGGGGCACCAGGGCGGTGTCTATGGGCAGCCCGTCGCGTCTCACGGTGTCCTCGAGGCTGTTATTTTCGACCCCTCTGAGCCCGCTGGTCCTAACAGCAAGAGATGGAGGGTGGGGGCCCCTGCGCCGGTTGGAAGGCATTACCATAACACCGCCCTTTTGAGGGAGGATGGAACGATCTTCACTGGAGGAGGTGACTCGCAGAATGGAGACAGCTTTACCACCATTCGTCCTGATGAGATGTAAGGACTCCACTCTCTCGTTACCACGTCTTTCGCATGTGCACATGACTGACTCCCACGTTCACGTCTCCTTGTAATTAGGACAATGGACGTGTACTATCCTCCTTACACCTTCATCCCCAACCGCCCCCAGCTCGCCCTTCCTCTAAACCCGGCCGCAGCAACCTACGGCCAATCCCTCGTCCTCACCTTCACCACCGACATTGCATCCAGCATCCAACAAGTTTCCATTATCCGCTACGCTTCCATGACCCACACCGTCAATCTCGACCAACGCCACATCGAGTTGCCTATACTCAAATACGCGAAGAACAAGGTGCTTGTCAAGTTGCCCGCGTCTGCGAACATTGCGCAGCCGGGTAACTGGATGGTTTGGGCTGTCGACTCTCGCGGTGCCCCCGTGCAGAAGGCGGGGACGATCAACCTCCGCGCTTCCAACACGGGCGCCGACGCTGCCTGGAACGATGCGGAAACGATCCCGTCCCCGACATTCCCGGCCAAGGTCCGTGATTCCAAGATCAACGGCGTCAACGCCAACGCTGCGGTGAACACCGGGGCGGGAGGCTCGGCTGCGAATGGGGGTGTGCCTGCTGGGAATGCAACTGCTGCGGCTGGCAAGACGGAGGTCGCGAAGGGTGTGGGGGCTGTTGCGGCTATGATGGCGTTTGTTGCTGGATGGGCTGTGTAAGATGTGCTGTTGTATAGACATTGGTTTGTCTTTCTTTTGGACGGGCGGCATAGCCGTCCTAGACAGTTTCTCCCTTTCCCATTGACCTCTTTCTTTCCGTGTTGTGTCTCCCTATTTGGTCTCTCTTTGTTTTGTTATTCTCTCGGCGTACTGGATAGAAAGCACAGGGCGTCTGGTTCTTTTTCCTGTACACACATCATTTTACATTATTCAAAGATTTGTCTTCTGACATCTTCCTTTTCCTTTTCCTTTCTCGTTGTGTGGTTTCATAAGACCCATCTTTTGTTGGTGACGTTTCGTAAAATCGCAACGAAAAACTTGTTGACACTCGGATGAGTATTTCTATTACCGTTGACCGTTTGGTGACCACTCCATGAGGATTTGCGGTCCAGAGGGCGTGTTCCATTCCGATTGTTACATTCCGAACCCCTCAGAGGCTACATGCGCGCAGAGAGATTCGACACGGGAGTGGAACTTGCTCTCTTTGGCTCCGACTTCAGCCCTTCGATCGCACGGGTGGTCGCGGCAATGGTGAGACTGAATAAACGCAGCTGGGCATGAGATTGGGAATGGGGACAGAATGGACTGGCGCGATGCGTTTTCAGATTCTCACGCTCTTCAGTTTCTTGTCACCGACAAAGGAGCAAAATGTGTTGACGGTTTGTGCAAGAATATCTGTCGGAAGGTCAGCGTAACATGCAGGCGCGTGCCGTCATCTGCAACTCCGCACTCCGCTCCTTGACGCTTGCACTCGTCACGGTCTTCATCTTTAACCAATGGTCAAAAAGCTAATACCCAACGAGCTATAGTATACACACTTTTCTTCTTATCCGGTATATAGAAAGCTGTTCTGATGTTCAGGGCAGGGTCTCCGGAGGGAATGGGGCAGCGCCACTGGACCATGGGGACTGGTTTGATGAATGCAAAAAAACGTTTGCGAGGGGTACGAACCGCGCCACCCTAATCCTTCCATATTCGCGGTGTTCCCTCCAGTGAGAGAAAAAGTCCAAGAAAATTGTCATTCTTCCGTTGCAGCCATGATGAGGAAGGAGAGGATACGCTTTCCATATTATTCCAGGACCTTTAATAACCGGCGCTATTGTTCCAATGACAGTCTTCCCCCATCGCCACCGCCGACGCGGGCCCCGGTTAACATGACGACCATTCTCACAAAATCCATCCATCAGATTGCGTTCAGAACCCGGGCCGTGGGCTGGAATCCCATTGCGTGAAAAACACCTGCGATCTTTATTGGGGTCGTACCCGGCGAGGGTTCCCGTATGGGTGGGGACGTATTGACATATACACATACACCCCGTCCTTCCTTCTCCGCTCGCCGCCCACCGCTCTTTATAAACCGTCCCGGCGCACCTCCGCCCCTGCATCGTTGACGACATATACCGCAGAATCAGGGTATTTCGAAGTGCAAAGATGGCGCGCGAGTATGTGGACCCGCATGAGGGCGTATTGTATAGCGGGTTTGAGAAGTATAAGTGGTGAGTATCTCGGCGGTGGATTCGCTGGGATGAGGCCAACATAAACGGCATGGGAGCGAGTGATGCCCGACGACCACTAACATCGGCGCTTTCCTTCTTCCCTAGGTTAACGATTCACATCATTGCCCTCTGCGTGATCTTTCTCTCCGTCTCCGGCTCTCTGTACATCGTGACGACAACAATCAGGAAGATGCGAAGCCAGCGGACGCAGTTGCGGACCATTGAAAAGTTTCCGATGTGGATTAGCTTGACTGATTGTTTGTTTGGTGTTTTTCATGGGACGGTGCGTTGAAGAAGACGTTTGGCGCCCAAGGATTAGCGGTTAAACGCGTGAAGATGTGAACTTATCAGACTTGCCTGTTTGATCGGTATTGAAGGACCATATTATTTCGATCAGTCGCGGATACTTGGCCACAGGTAAGACGATATTCCATCCACTACTGAGGGATTAGGCCGAGAATCGGGCGTCTAACCCAGTATTTGGTTCTTCCAGGCGCTGGGTGCAGGATGCTGGGGTTCGGTACCGTCTACGCCATGGTATGTATCCGTACCCGTCGTCCCAACACTTGGAATTCCGATACCGTGCTGACATTTGAACTCCGGTAACAGAATCTCCCAGCCTTCTGGGTAACCGCGATCGCCTTCTACCTCTGGACAGCGATTGTTCGCGGGCGGTATATCAACGTGGGCAGCAGGGACTGGAAACTGCATGGGGTGTGCTGGGGAGTGCCCTTCGTTTGGGGGATGATTCCGTTTATAACGAACGACTACGGCCAGGAGCCGGTATGTATTGGAATCGTTTTTCCGGCCGATGTTGGTTGGGGATTTGAAGGTGATTGAAGGGTGACAAGCGATGTTTGCTTACGCATGATGCGATGTCCGGTTTGCAGGCATGGTGCGGCCTTCCCAACCGTCTGTTCCTGTTCAACGGCGCGATCGTCCTTCTCGCCATGATCTCCTGCTCCCTTCTCTACGGCCATTTAACCTACTTCCTCTGGACGCACGCCCGCAAGACCCAGGAACAGCTTGGCCCCCAGAACCATCAACAAGGCCCGTCGAAGAAGCAGGCGATCGCCCTGAGCGACATGTCCGGTAACGCCGAGAACACCGCCAAACCCAAAAGAAACCCCTTGGGCGGCCCGAGTCAGAGCACGAGCAAGATCAACAAGTTGGTGAAGGAGTTACCTGTCTTTGTGCTGATATACATGGTGCAGTGGGCGCCTTACCTCATCTACGCGCTACTGCTGCTCGCGAAAAAGGAGTGGTTTGAGCTGGATGTTATTGTGGTAACGTTGACGAACGCGGGGGGCATCGCTAATGCGGTGGCTTATTCGCGGTTTATGGTATTTACATATGTGTCCTCTGTGCATATTCCGGTGCCACAAGTGTTTATTGACTTTCAACTTCAACGGTAGGCTAAGGATACCCCAGCGGCCCCGTATCGCCCCTCGACGACCGGTAGCCCGCTGCATACGCGAAATACGACTACAGAACCGGATACGTTGTCCGCCCAGTCCGCCCTGTCCGGACCAGCTTTGCCGGCGGGTCAAGTGGCTGAGGCTTGGAAGGAGGAGGACGTGAGGAAGAGGAGCGCGTCGGATTTGGAGGCCTGAAAGGGGAAGTTGGAGGATTGGTGAAGTGGGATTGGTGTGGTGGGAGAGGCGAGTGCATTCAGAGATTAGGCCTATAGATTCCCGTCGAGCACTTTTCCTATTCGCGTTCCCACTTTTCATTTATATCACTCGCATAATAATGGTATTGCCTAAATGATTCATTTTCCTTTCCGGGTCTGGTCGGTGTATACCATCTCCAGTTGACAGTTTCCAAACGGGCTTTGAAAGAAAGCGACAGCGCGTCATCATTGTGCCATTCCCTCTTTCTCTCTTCTCTTATATCCCATCGGTATCGATCCCCTACTTGTACCGTCACGACGAGCTGTTCCTATTCAATCGTCATGGCGACCCAAACTCTCTGCGTCTTCTTCATCGAGTTGGTCAGCTTCCTCCGCTTCAGCGGGTTGCTCATTCTCTCCTTCATCCGGTTGCGCATCCTCTTTTTCACCGGGGTTTTAGTCGTCTTTCATGTTGACCATGCTTGCTAGCACTTGAAACTGGCGCGTCGGACATATGTGCGTGGTAGAATGACGCCTCGGTTGCTGAAGGTTTTAGTTTTCGCGAAACGGGGGACTCGGATAGACAGACTCAGACTACTACATACATATGCAGCATTTTGACAACTGATTCAGAAGCCGTCAGACGCAAGTGCCATGTCATGGCCCCGACTCGAACGAACGCTGTTCTTGGGCGATCTTCGACCGACCACTTCCAGTTCCACTCAGAAGATGGCATACGATCGGATTCGATATTTTCAAAGTCGGACGAACCGCTCTCGAAGACTGAAGACATGCCTTCCCAGCTTCACGCAACAAATGCAGGCAAAAACGAGGTAAGACGGCCCTCAAGCGGGTGTGGCGGCTTGAAAACCAAGGATGCTCACACTTGTTGTTTGAAGGCGCCAGGGCTCAGAAAGTTACTCGAGCAATCCACAAGGGACACAAAGCTGATTTTCAGTGAAAGCGGCGAACTGATGGTTCATATGGACGTCCTCAGGGCCAACGCAGGCTACTTTGCTAGCCATGCTTCTTTTCAGACCATCCAGCAAGATGGAGTAACGAAGCCAACCCACACAGTTGACATACGACAGATTGCCACCAACGAGGAGGTCGCCATGCGTTATGTGCTCTTTTTCTACACACACAAAGCATCAGACCTGTGCTTCACAGCGGAAGCCGCTTTTCAGTACTTCGCCCTCGAGGATTTCTTGGAGCTGGAACCCGGCGTAATAAGGAAAGTTCGAGCCCACACTTCCGAGTATCTCGCTCGGGATTACGACGTAAAGGACGTGAAGCATATGCTTACGAGTGCCTGCACCACGCCAATTGGCCCAGACCTTGTATGCTCGATCTTCGACAGTCTCGTCGACGAGGGGCGCCGCAGTGCGGATTGCGGACGCGGGGATTGTGGAGCCATCACTCGACAGATCCAGTGCAGAGAATGTCCCCAAACCACCACCATTTGTCGGATTTGCAGAGGATGTGAGATCCACTGTCTCGCTGGCAGGCTCCGCGGCGCGATGGCGATACCTCCCATCTGGCTCGTATCCGCAGCGAGTTTTCACACTATCCCTTACGACATCGTTGACATATGCGCTCGACTGAAGGAGAAGTTGGGAGAACAGTACCAGGAAATCAGTAGTTCTTTTCACGCCTGGGTCGCCGAGGAGTGTGCACCAAGGGACTCGCTCCTCACAATGTTCATTGAAGCGTCAAAGATTCTCTACTGCTGACCAACGAAGAACCCCAAGACGTGATGAGTTGCGGAAGGAAATGCACCGTCGCCGATGCATCCTCTGTTGCCTTTAGAGCCTCCGCCGGCTGAGAGCATATCGACCCCTGTAGATTCTTCGATTCTCCTGTCAGTTACCTTTCAGAGCAGAACTACTCTGTCTACTCTGGACAGTTCCGATGGGGAAGATGAAAACGATGACACCGTCGTGCTTCCCGCCGCGGCTCCATCCAAGATCCGTTTGCCAGCTGTTGGGAAGGGACCCGAAAGCTCCCCGCCCGGAAAAAAGGGTCGTCCACAGTCCAAGAAATAGCCTCCTCGCGCAGATAGCCTCAGAGATAGCCTCCTTCCCCAGATAGTGTTCCCCGCAGAATTCCCTTATTTGTATGCTTGAATGAATCAACCTCTTGAATGATCCGCCTTCCACCGTTCCAGTCAACATGAGGTTGTCTGCAGGGAGTGTGTAACCGCACAGAAAGGTACCTTTTGCCACTATTATATGAATGTGTGGGGACTCAGTCACTCACGTCAAACCTTCTCCTGGAATTGCCACATCGCTGTGGTCTGAAAGCCCTTGTGCCTCGAGACGGCCCTTGTGCAGTTGTGCCTGGGAGCGGCTAGAGCGGCCCTTGCTTGGTGCTTGCGCGACTTTTTCTGAGAAGGAAGCGCCTTTGGCAGTGCAGACTCCAGAGAATGCAAGCTACTCGACACTCCTTCCCCAAGACCCACAGCCAATCTTGAGCTTGAAATTGCGTTGGGAATGCCTCACCATGGCGAAAGGAATGCAGCAAGCGTCCGAAACGAAGCGAGAGTCCAGCGCAGCGCAGCGACAGCCAGCGAGAGAGCGTTCTGAGCGGTCCGCAGGCTTAACTAAGTCTGACCTCGCATTCAAAAACGTCCTGCATCTAGATTCTGGGCCCGGGGCTTGACCCAGAAATACGTCGTGCAGTTTCTGACCGCGCTTAGTTGCGTGGTGGTGGGGCAGCCGAGTATGGCCGAGTATGGTTACAATTCCTTCGGGGGGGCAACCAGAGAAACGGACAATCACAATCACAATCACATCCATCCATTCCATCACATCCATCGCCCCTTTACTGTCCATAAACTTTTCCTATTAGGGCCCTCTTAATCGGACGCCCATCGCCCAATTATTTCCTTCTCTTCAGCACGCGCGCGCACAAAGGGGAACGTTGACGACATCAGTCATGCGAAAATGGAGGAGAGCTGCCTACTCACTTCTCTTCCGATTCCGCGTTTGAGTGCGCAGAACGGAGAGGCACTGGAGATCGCCTGAATGTCGGGCGGCGACGTGCGCTCACGATGTGCGGGTAAATGTCAAAGTGGCAGAGTTCAGGCGGACATGTCCAGAATTGCCATGGTACCATCACACGACCCGATGAGAAGACACTAACCGAGTGACACGGGGGCACAAAAATGTCGTATTACGAGAGGAAAAATTCCGGAACTCCATCAGCGGACGACAAAAGCGATTTCAGGGTGAAGAAGCGTTACGTGTGGTATATGTGTGCTAATGAAGTACATGAATAATCGCGTGTCCGCCCCCAGAAAGAACCACAAGTAGTGGCAAAAGCGGTGTCGGAGATAGCGATGGAGGTGGCGGTGGCGTAAATGAAGGTAAGGGGAAGGGCGATGCGCGGAGGTGCGGTAGGAAGAGACTAATTCACTCGACCCGGGTCTCTAGGCAGAGACGGGAGGTAAAACGGGTAGAAGAAAGCCCACCTCGGCTCTGATGGGTAAATCAGACCCCTTTACCGAGATTAGCCATCTCCATCTCCGGTTTCTCCTCCACATGCCGCCTAGTGGACGATAAGCGCCGATGCTGTGCTGCTGGGCGGCCATTAGGGCTTCCATGGCCGCCTTTCCGACCCCGGTCGGCTGTTGCTCCGTCCACGCCTCCTGCTTCTGCGTCCGTTAAGTCGTGCCCGTTCCGTGCGGCCGAGGATGAACGCCGGCGGCCTTGTCGCCGCGCGATCATGTCTTCTTCCAGTAGGATGTCGGTGTCCCTTGGGCGGAAATGGTGCCAGAAGCTGGGAAGGGGAGGGAAAATGAAAATAAATATTAAAATCGTTGTCCGCTAAACTGCCACGCTCATGTGTTGCAGGAAGAACGAAGGGTGTTGAACGGTGCTGGGAGTACTCACTATTTGACGAGAAGTGCTCCAGTGGAACAAGTCCCCACCAGGAGAATCGTGACGACCTTATGATGGAATTAGATGTTGGTAGCCAACTCACGCAGGACGAACACATACTCGCACTTCACAGTTCGAAAACATACCCAGAAGCCAGGCAAAACATGGACGCTCTCAAACGTGCCCTCATCGACCCACTTGAGCCATTCAACGACGCCCATGACAGCCAGATTGCATAGCAATGAAAACACCAGCACGCCCAAACTGACGGCGGCGAATCTGCCGACCCAAACGACATTCATCATCGCGGCTCGGATAAGCACAATGACCAGCATCGGGGTGGAAAAGAGATACGTCTGAGTCCAGTATCCGGCGCTGTATCCGTTAGGATCGAGTGTGTTATTGTGAAATGCGAGGTAGACCGTGTAGAAGATAGCTGTGGCGGTGAGAAAGGCTTCAACGAGAGTGCGGACCATGCGCACGTTGGACCAGTAGAGTCTGATCGAAGATGAAACGAATTAGCGGTGCCATAGGGAAGACATCTGTCACATCTAACCAGTTGGCTTACCCATGGCGGACAGCTTTGTATAAGTGCGGATTGCTCAGCAAAGTCCCCGGCCGTGCATCGTAATCGAATATAGCGAGAAAGAATGGCGGTAAGGAGGTGAACACGATATTGAATCCCGTCAAAAACAGCTCCTCGTAGACGAGAGCCCCGCTCCACGCGCACTGGAACCCAAACCACCACTGCACGGTGATCATGACCAAGTTCTTGTAGAACGAGTAGTACACCAGACTCGATAATCTCAGCCTACTCCACCGGCCATGAACGGCAAGGAGTTTCGCAAGATGCCGAAACTCGCCAATCGCGTAATCGGCAGCACGCACAGCCTGGGTGCCCTCCCGGCCCACGACACCTACGCCGACATTGGCAGCCTGAATCATACTGACGTCGTTGGCGCCGTCTCCGATGGCTAGCGTTGTGCATTTGAGATTCTCCTGCACTAGTTGCACAACGAGCGCTTTTTGAATGGGTGTGACGCGGCAGGCGATGACGGTCGTGCAGAGTTGTGAGAGGCGAAGGAGAAGTTGCGGTAGGGCCGGTTTGTGGGTGAATAACGTTGTCAGGGTCGCCCCGGGGATGATGAGGGCTGTGCGTCTCCGGGCATTGGTACGCCCATCCGCGTTGTGGTGGAAATGGTGATGATGCGATAGTCCAGCTGGAGGTGGTGTTGCAGATGGAATCGTTGGGAGAGGGTCCCCCCGAGGTCTACTCGGCGATTGCGCTGGTCCCGCGCCACTCAGGTCCTCGATGTATTCCTCGAGCTGGCGTTTCAGTTCTGGCTCCGACTGCGCCGTGAGTTTTAAAACCAACATATCTGGAAGAATAAGCCGCGAGGACATGCCGATGTTGATTGCGGTTTCCATCTTGTCTCCGGTGAGCAACCAGACCTTAATGCCGCAGTTGACAAGAAACTCGATCGTTTCTGGGACCTCATCTTGCAATCGATCCTCGATGGCTGTACAACCCAAAAACTGAAGATCGCGTTCAATGGTCTCGGAAACCTCCGCGATGTTCTCTTCCCTGTTTGTTAGACTCCGCTCTGCTTCGTCCAAAGCCACCCGGAAGTTCTCAAACTCCTCCTCTGAAAGCTGCCGGTACGCGACCACGAGGGTCCTCAGCCCCTGTTCACTGTAATGCCGTAAAGCCTCGTCCGCATGGTCAATCGCCTTGTCCTGACCTCCCGCAAGCCGTTCTATAATGATATTATCGGCTCCTTTGCAGTATAGGATGATGGGTCCGCCGTTTGGGTACCTGACAATTACCGACATTCGTTTACGATCGGAAGTGAAGTCGAGCAAGGCTAATTGGACGAAATCGAGGGGTACTGCTTTTTCGGGCTGCGATGGATCATTGATTTTGATGTTGTTCTTCGTCCGTGACAGCAACGTGAACTGATCTGTTTTGATGGCGTAGAGGAGGGCCGATTCATCGGGTGATTGAGACTCGTACAGCAAAGCATCCGAATCGCGTGGATCGGGCGCAGGTATGACGCTGTGGCACAGCGCTAGAGAATGCCCAAACTTCATAACACGATCCTTTGCATCAGCAGCTAATGATCTGTCACCGGCCATCTTTGCGAGTGCGCCAGCGCCACTGCTGATGCCCGCCGGTATTGGCCCTACGCCGTCCAAGTACCATCCAACAACCTTCATCTCGTTCCTTGTCACAGTCCCCGTTTTGTCACTGAAGACGTATTCAACAACCCCAAGGTCCTCGTTGAGATTGGAGTTATTCGCTTTCGATTTGACGGTCAGCACGGAACCGTCGGAGTTCGTCATATACGACCGCATATCGAAGTCCCATTGAATATATTTCGCTTGTATGACACGCACGATTTCGATAGTGACGAAAAGCGAGATTGGTATGACGTATGTGTAAAGGGCGAAGAACGAGACGATGGTATAAAATATGTGCTGTAAAAACCCGCAACAATAAGCGATCGGGCCAGCAGATTTACTCGTTCCTTCCGATTGACAAATGTGCTTACCCTTCCGGTGTTGTTATCAGCGGGTCCTAGATACCATTCAACAGGGTAATTAGCGGGATCAGTGAGTTGATTAGCCACCTCTCGATCCCGAATCTTCTTGTAATGCCTCCACTCCAACGAAACACTGCTGATTAGCAAGAACGCGTTATAGACGAAAGCGCCCATGACCAGCCAATTGAGCCGTTTTTCCAATGTGCTTGATTTCAGCTTCGGTTTTTTGAGGTTTCGGATGATTTTGGTGTTTCCCCCGACATATACGACGAGAAGGTACGCAAAAGTAGTGTTACGGACATTTGATCCGCGCAGTATGATGTTTGTGGGTGTCAGTGGGTATCGAATCGGTGAATGGCCGTGAGGTTGATTGAGCGTTATTAGGCCATCGAATACCCCAAGCTTATCATTTGGCTGCTCGCATTGTATGGTCCCCTGCAATGCGCTCACTTGCTGAAAACCGACGATTGAAGTCCAGTTAGCTCGTTTCCAAGGTCATATGCACCATTCGCCAACGTAACGCATGCGACCCTGCAAATCCACAGCCGCGGTGAAGTTCGACATGATACCTCGTCGGTTTGCACATGTGCCAGTTCCCCTACGGCGCTCCGTCTTTTCAGATTCGTTTCCCCGTCCAATTCGGCAGTCTCCACAAAACATGTCCCATCTTCGTAATTCGTCGATAGGATCATGGCATCTACAGGGGTCTTATCGCCCTTCTCTAAACATATGATATCCCCTGGTTGAACATGCTCGGCTGTGATCTCCTGCCGTTTCCCTTGGCGAAGGACTATCACTGGGGCGGTGTTGGCGGCTCGATCGGCTTTATAGCGTGACTAGAGAGAGGGGAAGACATAGGAGGATTAGCGACATGGTGAAGACCCAGCCGTGATAAATACACGATTGCCAAACTCGCGTATGTACATAGTCTTCGTATGCTTCTTTTGCAAGAGAGAAGGCGAGAACGATGAGCAACGGCAGGATCTGTGACGCTGGTGACAAACTGGAGACGCCAGCGATGACGGACAGCGCCCCTGCGAGGAAGTACAGGTTGTAAAACCGGCGGAACTAAACGGTCGACATTCAGGTATGTGGTTAATATCGACGGTGGGTACCTTCGAAACCTTACGATGACCCTTTTGTTCAGTCTCGCAGGCCACACCGCACCTGGTTGTAAAGGGTTTTTGGGAAGAATGAATACAGCGTGTATTTGGTGGTGCGAATGTAGTTAGAGTTTCTGTTGTAATCGGTCTCTGATGAAGGGAAAGCAACAGTGTATGGACCGTCGTCCTCCTCAGTCCCCGCGCCCTTCCTCATTCGCTTGAGAAACGACAACGGAGATGCCGGAGGAGTCGTACGCTTTTTGTCCGGCCTTGTATCCGTAAGCGTTATTCGGTGGTCGGAGGAGGACTTTTGGGCTCCCGCCGATGGAGTTCCTGATGTAGTGTTTCCCGCGTGACTTCCCAACCCAAACGTGCCTGCTTCCAAAGATGCCGAGTTGTCCTCGGCGTTTCCGCTAGGAGTTGGCGGATAGTGCGTCTGAATATTCTGCTGGAGGCTGTCCTCTTCAACGGCCATATTGACGCGGGGTTCCTCCTGCTCCTCAGGGTGGATACGGAGCCCGCCCGACGAGTGCGTGTTGGGACGCAGGTTGGGCTGTTTGGTTAACTTTCGTTTCGAATTCAGGTGTACCGAGGAGAACCTCTGGCTGTTGAGACGCTAGCCGCTTCTGCTCCACGCTGTTCGAGGTAATACTCGCTGAGATGCGACGGACTTCCGAGGACGGTGTTGGCTGGAACTTTTCCAGATATCCCTTCGGAGGGAGGTGTCGGAGTGCGTGCAAAATATCGCTTCTTGCTGTGCGCCTGCACACGCTCCTGAAGCCTCCCACGGAGTCCTCCCAACCTCCTCAGCCTCTCCCCGCCCTCCTCGCAGACTCGTGCCATATCATCTTCTTATTTCATGTCTTGGAAACTCATGCAAAATGGAAGGCCAGTACGGAAATGTAATCATCAAAAGAGTACCAATGCAATGGCCGAGAATCGAACTCGGGTCTACCGCGTGGCAGGCGGTAATTATGCCACTAAACCACCATTGCTTCGATGAATGTGCGGCGGGCACAATGCTTGATATCCTTGAATATAGATATCTTCCTGCTCACTTGCACCAGCCTCTCTCAGTCACCGCAGAAATGACAAAGGAGACGCGAGGGGGCTCTGAGGCCTTTTATCCGGTCTCGTATCCATAGGCACAACTCGGTGCTGAAGTCGGGGAGTTCCTTGTATCGTGTTCACCGCATGACATCCCGAGAACGTGCCTGCTTGTACTGTAAAGCGGCTGCGTCGTCCCCGGCATCACTTCCGCCCGACCTTGGCGGATAGAGGGCGCTTGGGGATTCTGCTGGAAGTTGTCGTCCTCAATGGCCATGTTGATGCCCAGCTCCTCAGGGTGGCTGCGGAGCCCACCCAACGTGTGTGTCTGGGGACACAGAGTGGGCTGTTTGTCAGAGCTTCTCTTCGAACCACGTAAACTATAGGTAGCAAGGCGGCCCTCTAGCTTGTCTTCAGTAGACCCTAGCTGCTTTGCTTTGCTTCATGACTTAGTTGGATGTGGCGGACTCCTTTCGGGGGATGGTAGGACGGCACCGAAGGAATCACTTCCAGAGGAGTAGAGAATAGACCTGGGTAGTTTATATAGGGAATTGCCAACGACGCTACCCCAATTTGCTAACGGCGCCACCCTCCACTTCACACTAATAATAAGCGACATAAACTTGGTGACTTTTTGGGTAACTAACCTACCATAACAACACGCCCTGCTCGGGACGGTGTACATATATGTAACGTGGGTTGTCTACTGGACATTTAAGAGGCTCCCCCAGCGTGCCGCGTCATTTTCAAATATCAACAGCCACCCTCCTACCCCGCTGACCTGAAGCCCGTTACGGTAATGTCACTTCAGTCTGACCTCAAGCGCCCAGAGCCTCCCGTTACGGTCTCAAACCCGAAGCCGGAAGGTCCTGACGTTTTTTCGGCGAAGTCCTCCCTTATATCGGGCCACGAGATAGAACCGACATCTGCAGCAGGCGATGTCCACCCAGAGTACTCCTCGCTGCAAAAATTTCTCAACTCCGAGCCCTTCCAGTCCCCTATCTCTTGCTTTGCGCCCGGACACTCAGGTATTTGTTCTTTGTTGCCTCACAGTCACCGGGTTTCACTAAGGATGTTTGGGCACACAGGTTCTATAGGAGATGAACACCGACTTTGTAAGCCTCGCAGTAAACCCTCGTCCAAACCGGAGGCCTTGAATCGACGATGGAGAACCCCGAGGCCTCTCAATCCTTTCATTCTCTATCGGCGCGAAAGACACCAGGAAGTCTTGCAGAAGCATCAAGAGATATCGAATAATTCCGTCTCCAAAATAGTGGGCAGAATGTGGGGTGCGGAGCCTCCCTACGTAAAACAAATATTTTCGGAGCGTAGCGAAGAGTCCAAGCGACTGCACGAAGCAAAGCACCCCAATTACAAGTTTAACCCCCGCAAAAACAAGCCGAAGCGCTTGACGGATGAATATGAAGATGCCCTCGAATGACCTACCTTGTGAGTGCTGTATTGAGCCCGTCACCTCGATGAGCCGGTAGTAGGTACATACACGCAGTGAAATTGTCAGGATGCAGGAAGTTGCATATGGGGTTATGATCAAACACGGCCAATTTGTGAAGGCAATATGTGGTATCATCCAAGCAATCAATTGGGCACCCGTTGAGTCTTCCTTTGAATGTCGTCGATTGACCCGATCGGGCCTGGTTCCTGTGCCTTTCGGAATGCGTGTCACCTTTCTTTGGCACGATTGGGCCGCCTTAAGGCTATCCGCGTACTGATTGCGTACGTACTGTAACGCGGTGGCAACGCGTAAGGTGTTGAGCTCTCTGGGTACATTTTACATACCATATAAATGGGTGGCCCACCTCGTTTTTCCCGACCAACATATTCATTGATTTACAAGGGAACAACAGCACCGAGCATGACACTCAACAAGTATCTTCGTGCTCCGCATCGTCAACAGTTGCTCCATCCTGCGCTTTCACAGAAAGTTTTCATCGCGCAGCGACGTTTAGTAAACGTTGGTCCTTCCAGTCGAAACGCATCGATTGTCGCGCTTCGCACGGATTCCGGAAATGCCACGTTGGATGATTCTGCTCTCGGCACCTCGGAATTCCGTCCTGTCTTTGCCATTCTTGAAGCAGCGCGAGCCGCACGGTTTAGCACCAAAGCGGAGACCACGCCACAGATCACGACGTCGAGCATCGAAACTTTGAGGCCCGCGGTCATGAACCGCAGTCTTATGCCTTTTCAGCAAGATCTTCAAAGCGGCAAGGTCTCCGACCCGCAATCAAACAATACTCCCTCGTCTTCGGACGGTGTGTCAGATGCCAGTAATCAGCCTTACCCGTTTCTGACTTACTCCGAGAGCGTGGCGGTCCGTGGCCTAGCCGAGCGAGCAACTCGGAAGCTTGTCCGTCAAGCTCAAAAGCGCACGAAGACACAAAAGCCTGGTGATCACTCTGAAGTGGCAGTGCTCCCGGTCAAGGTACCAAATTACGCAGTGCGGCGACTCTGAATGATGTCCTGACTCTCGTTCTTTCAGGTGGAGGATAAACGCGTTGATGCTGCCTTCCAAATTGGCGATGTCCTACATCTTGTCCGTTTTCAAATGAAGGCTCGTCCGGAACATATCCGTTGGATGGACATTAGCAGAGATCTCTCCAAGGTTGTCAAACACGTGGAGAAGATCAGCTCGACCCCATCCTGGAAGAGAACACAAGCATCCATAGTGTGCTTCGGCATCCTCAGCCATAGTGATAGTAACTATTACCCTCCCGAGCTCATTGGAGACTGCCAAATCAAGTCCATCCCGGAGTTCCTCAAGCTTCTCGGTTGGCATGAGGGGGATCTGGTTACTTTCAAGAATTCCATGGATGATGCCATCAAGGCCGTCATGCCGCCCAAGGAAGTGCATTCGACTGTCGGTCTACCGCAAGCTCAGTCGGTATCGAAAGAAATGTCGAAAAAGCGCGGCGAAACCAGACTGCGGCCCATGTTTACATGGCAAGGGGGAAAGTCTGATGAGCTGCCCATTCTCCAGAAGTATATTCCGAAAACCATGAAGACCTATGTGGAACCATTTGCTGGTGGATTGGCGATGTACTTTTTCCTTCGCCCCAAGCAGAGCGTCGTCGCTGATACGCACCATGAGCTCATCAACTTCTATCGACAAATTCAACTGGGAAATCGAGTCGAGATTCTTCGTCGCCTCAGGGATTATAAATTTACTGAGGATGAGTATTACTCCGTTAGGGACGCGCAAAACGGTGATGAGATCGACCGGGCTGTCCGATTTTTCTATTTGAGGTGCACCTGTTACCGCGGCATGCTGAAATATCGAAAATCAAACACCGGAAACTTGCAGTCCACCGTGTCCTTCGGGACCCGTGCGGTGAGTTTTGCCGTGCATCAGGCCATCGTACAGAAATGAACGTTTATGTAAGATGCGGACAACAGGCCGGAAAAGTTATTCTCTCACGGTTTGAGGACGAGCGATACGAAAAGCTTTTAAGCACCACTATGCTTATGAACGAGTCTTTCGAAAACCTCTTTTGTCGGTACAATGATCCGGAAGACTTCTTCTTCCTCGACCCGCCGTACGATTCACCGTTCAATGACTATAGCAACGCTCCTTTCGGCCGGGTCGAACATCAACGCCTCGCTGACTGTTTTCGCACCACGAAAGCTCGATGTTTGATGGTTTTAGGAAATACGCCTTTTATTTTCGATCTATACCGAGATTACATCAAAGCGGCCTTCCCCAAGCCATACAGGTTCAAGATTGGGGGACAGCCTCGAGGCCCGGACATGGTGGCGGAGCATCTAATCATTGCAAATTACGATTGATTGTAATCATATTTATACAAAAGAACCGACATGTCTTCGTGGGTACGGCTGTTCTTGAGACACTTGTTGACCGAGTGGCAAAATCATTCCACCTCCGCTTGCCTCGAAGATACGAGGCTTCACCATACTGCTGTGAAGGCTCCTCGTTGAAGATACCTCCGACGTGCTGAAAATGCAGTTCAGCTTCGCAGTTGTGCGCTGGTGAGACACGTAAGACAACCCACCATTGATGAACCAGTTGTTCAGCTGTTTCATAGTCAAATTCACATCTCGACAAAGCTGTTGTTTGTCGGTGTCCGAAGGATATGGGTGTTTCGTATGTCGGCGAAGCCAAGAGAAAAGTATTTCTAGCTGCCAAGTAGCGAAGTTTGGCCGAGATGCCTTTCTGGTGTCTCTTTTCCTTCGATTAACGGTATTTGTAGCGGTCGGTTGGATAGTCGCGGGAGGTGTAAGAACTGTCAAGCAGGATTCCGGCGCAACTACCACGTCGTCCTGACTGTGCTCGTTGGCAACTGCACTTGGTGACAGAGCTGCGGCCGCCGCAGAGCATTCGGGTTGGTCCCTTTTCCTCTTGCCAGCACTGTAGGTCATGACCGACTCTAGAAGGTGTTGTGTCGTACCTCCGACGTTGTCACTAAACCCTCGGCAGTCACTAACAATCTGGAGCACTTGGGAGGAGCCCGTGCCAACAACGGACCAGAGAAATAGGTTCATTTGGTCCTCCTCCCAACGGTTTGGGCTGACCAAATCTCGCTCCCGTTCAAGGAGTTCCGACAGGCGTTCCAGTAGCGCATGTGCTTGAGACGCTTCGACGATAGAGAGTGCTTGGTCCCGAAGCTGCACAATCTCCTGCGACAGTGCAAAAAGACGAGTGTCCAACTGGAGCGGCAGAGGTTCTTGAGCCATGGCGATGTCCGTTACGAATGGGTGGATGATCCCGAGTTGTTGAGCCCTTGTTCAAGGGTTGATAGCAGACAGAGCCCTAAGGTATGCGCAGGTCTCCCAGCATAGCCACCCAGAGCGCGTCGCGAGTGCTGTCAGTCGATACTCCCTCTGACTTTCTCTGGTTTGCACGATGCCTTAATGGCTTTGCGTGTCAAACTGCACATAATAACAGGCAGCAAAAAGCTACGCCAAGTCTTTTGGCATGCTAGCCTCAACAACCTCAAATTTTCACAATATGTTGTTATGTCCATTTCCAACGTGCTTATAGAGGAATGCGCCTCGTCCTTTCTTTTTGTTGGAGGTGTCATCCTCCCGAGTCCCCGGTTAGGGTTCCCGTAGTTTATTTCCCCACGTGACTTCCCTCCCGCTTACGCCACGCTTCCGCATACGGGACTTCACTCTTTTCTTCCCCTTTGGACCTCGCGTCCTCTTTCTACTCCAGACTTCTATATAGTACTTCATACACAGTAAGAGCTCAGTCTCACCATTACATAGAGTTCGCTCAGTCATCTGCTTCCTCTGCTGATTACGGCTAAGTGGTTATGAGCCCTGGCTTTGCCCGCAACTAGCGGACATGTCAGGATAGAAGAACTCTCGGCCTCCAGTCACCGCTCCCTTAGAAAGCACCATGCCACCTAAGGATTCAACAACCCAACCTCAGAAGGCCTACGCTGCTGCGGTAGCAGCAGGCAGGCCCTTCGCCCACAATATGCAGTCCCAAGGAAGAGGTCTCCTGGACCCACTACCTGCGGCTACTACATGTTATGGACGACGCGCCCATACCATAAGCTTACCTACTTGTTATGATCTGGACGACGGAGGCGGAAGCGAAGAAGCGAAGACAGAGCGAGAGTGCTAGGCGACAAGAGATTGTATTGGCGAAACAAGAAACAAGGACTAGAACAGGAGATGAGAAGAACTGGTGTTGATCTGCTGGGGAGGAAGGGATTGGGCGAAGAGAGGCCGGCTATTTATAGATAGACAACCCAGCAGAGCAGAGAACAACAACAACAAGATGGGACTGGGGGGGCGCCAGCTATGCTCCTAGAGTGGCTGTGGCGAGTGTAGAGAGCATTGCTACAGCTGCTGGCTATGGAGAAGTAGTGGGGGGTGTGGAGAAGCCGTGGGGGGATTGGCAAAATGAAAGGAGAGAGTGTTGGAGGTATCATCCTCCCGAGTCCCCGGTTAGGGTTCCCGTAGTTTATTTCCCCACGTGACTTCCCTCCCGCTTACGCCACGCTTCCGCGTACGGGACGTCACTCTTTTCTTCCCCTTTCGGACCTCGCGTCCTCTTCACACTTCAGACTTCAATACATACTTCACAGTACTACATCTCACACAACATAGAGTTCGCTCAGTCATCTGCTTCCCCTGCCGACTACTGCTAAGTGGTTATGAGCCCTGGCTTTGCCCGCAACTAGCGGACGTTCCAGGATAGAAGAACTCACGGTCTCCAGTCACCGCTCTCTTAGAAAACACCATGCCACCTAAGGATTCAACTCAACCTCAGAAGGGCTACGCAGCTGCAGTAACAGCCGGCAAGCCCTCCGCTCACAACACGCGGTCCCATGGAGGAGCTCTCCTGGACCCCCTACCTGCGGCTACTAGAGGAGGAGGAAAGAAAGTTAAATACGCTGTTAAGAGTTCTGAATATATTAATCAGCGCTCTGGCATTGACTCACGTACTCCGCTTCATCAAGGCGTAGCCCGTCATGCCGACTTACGCAGTGAACCAACACCTAACCCGCCTTACAAAATGCCTGGTGAATTTGTGGATGAGAAGAAGAGGAAGGAGGAACTTTCTGCTACTATTGCAGAATGGAAAGACGCAACCACGCCATATGTGGATGCGCCTGAATCACTTGGACATACCGGAACCGAAAACAACCCCTTCCTGATGGACTCCATTCAGGAAGAATCTATGCCTGTCGAGCAGGAAGAGAAGATGCTCCAATTGGAGGATCAAATAGCCAATCTGACTGGATTTGTTACCTCGCTCTTGAATTCGGGCCGAGCGCCACAACAAGGCGGACCTACCGTCCCCTCCGTGAACCCGCTCGCTCAGTCGCCTGTGGATAGCACTCGCTCTCAGTATGACTAGCCCTATCCAGGCAAACCTGCCATATATGACCTCTGTGTCGCCGGCACCCCATGCGCCTCCTCAGCGCGCTATGGCCTACTCCGTCCCATACGCTTATAAAGCCCCGGAACGGCATCCTTACTTTCAACCTCGTTCTCAAAGCCCTCCTTTCGCTGAAATTCCACACGAAAGTGAATCTGTAAGATCTGTTACTCCCATAACTCCCCCTATGGCCGGCAAATCAGCTTCCAAAGTCTTCATCAACACTACCCTTAGACTCGGCACCTACAACGGCGACCCCAATGTTACCAAGCTTCAAGGGTTCCTTGATCACATCGACGTGATTATGAAGTACGAGATGATTTCGCCTTCCGGATGCGTAGACTTCGTGGTCAACGCGCTCACTGGACCAGCTCTCCAGTGGTGAAAAAGCCTCCCTCAAAACGAGCGCTTCTCCATAATTTCCTGGCACGATATTCAAGACGTCTATGGACTGCCCCCGGCACTCGGATTACGCTCCGCGATGTTGAGGCGCTTCATTCCCCGGACTCATCTGCCGCAAGTTCTTCACAGACTGCGCGCTCTGAAGCCCAAGTCAATTAACCATCAAGGTTTAACCGAATTCGTCGCCCAGTTCAACCTTTTGGCTGGACAACTCCCCGGGCTCCTGGAATACGTGCTCTGCGCCGACTTCCTTCAAGCCCTTCCTAAGAATCTTAGTACCCTGATCACTGCTCAGGCTCAGTACAATGATAGACTTAGTCAACTTGATCAGCAATAGCAGGTCGTTTCGGATCGCGAGCTTGGACAATAGTCGTATCGAAATGAATGGGATTGTCCCAGTTTGTAGTGTTCCGAATGGTATAGGTCAAATCTTCGGCGTGTTCTTCAAGATAATCTCTGATTTCCGATGAGCGTTCGGATACTTCACGGGTCTTTTTCTTGTCATCATTTCGAAGCATAAACGAGTTGATCAAATGACTGTTGGATCTCTGATTGGCGGAAGTATTACGGTTGCGAAGTACGGCAGCTTTAGCATCTTCAAAAACTTTCTTGATTCCTCCTCGTCCAATATTCAAAGGGATTTCTTGTCCAGGTATTCCAATCGTCGTATTGTCAGGGTACGCAATTTGTCCTTGTCCGTTAATAACTAACTCTCCTCGGTTCTGAACCTCGGAAAACTCTCTGCAAAATCTGCGCAGGTGTCCTTCCTGATCGCAATAAACGCATCGCAAAGGTCGAACATTCGCATTGCCGGTATTTGTTGAGCCACTGTCTTGCGAATCGTTTGCAGGCGGAAGTCGGGTCGCAGGAGTTCAACTCTGCAGGATTCGGTTCTGGCTGGTCTGCAACTGGGCCATTCGTTCGGTCATTTCGCGTACTGCTCGGTCAAGTTTGCTCTCGGTCTGTAATACTTGTCCTTGTACGAAGTTCAGCTGGTCACTAACAGGCGGGTTGATAATAGTGGGGATAGTAAGAATCGGTTTCTGAACGGCCATAGATCGCACGTCGGAATTGGGTTGCTTAATAACTGTCGTAAGTTGAGAAAGCGCGGCATGTTCATTGGTTGCTTCGGTGATGGCTTCCATAACTCGGCTAACGGAGGGTAACTGAGTCGGTCGCAAATGGGTTCCACGTTCAGCAGCGAGTCTTCTGGCTCGTTGGAGAACTCATTTGTCGAAGCCGGGTTCGTCTTTCCACGGTGTCAGAAGCAGATTCATCTTCTCTTTGTCGGCGACCCCATCGATTCTTGCATATCAATAGGCCATTTCGTTGATAAATTCGGTAGCGTTGGCAGTGTTTTGTTTGACATGGTCTCGTTGACTGAGGGCGCATTGTTTGAGGTCGTTGAAGGTATAGCGAGTTTGAAATGGATCAAACTGCAATATTACTTCTTCAGTAAAGGTCCTCCATGTCGGTTCTTCTCTCCATCGAGTGAATTCCGTTATTTTGAGCGCTCGGTAACTAGGCATACTACGGAGTAGCGCTCGAATACTTGGTTTCGAATACTGGATGAATGTCTGCATACATTGTTTGTGTTTCAGTTCCACGATTTGTTGTTCCTGCTGATCAGCAATAGCAGGATCTCGGGGATCGTACGGAATGCGAGGTGCGGTGTGCGGAGGGTTTACGACGATTCTCGGATACTCAGCATCGGGTTCGTATCCAGCGTCGGTAAGTTGAGCAGTGAATAAATCGATTTTCTCGAGGTTTTCTGCAACGTTCGGCGTATACGGCCACCAGAAATTGGTTTTTCTCGTTTCGCAGGTGATTTCTTCAGTGTTTCGGGCGTCGTGGGAGCTTCTGGTTGGGTGAGAGTCGGGTCGGGGGTGCTTTCATGTGTGAGATCCTCTCCTACGCCTACATTTTTCGCATGTCAGTCGTATCCGAGGACAAAACGTCGTTGTGAAGCAAGGTTTCGGTAAAGGTAGCT